TAAACTTTAAATTGCTTTTTGTAATTACGACGGAACATTGAATAGGACATACATACATACAAGTCAAACACATAACCGTCCTTAGGATTTCTCCGCAGCCCAAGTATTAAAAAAACCCCAGTATTAAAAAATGCCAGCAAAATATGTATTAAAAAAAATGAAATTCATAGTTTTAGTTAATTATTAAAAAAAAAACATTCCGTAACAAAATACTCATTATCTTATCTTTTACGTTATTAGAATGTTATCTTAAAATGTACGTAGCAAAAAAATCATGTGAACAAAATCAACAAATATGTAGAATATGGACCTAATGTAAATATTTTTTTAATCTATGATAGTTTAAACATTACCCGCAGACTTGGTACGAAAGTATGTATTTCACAACTAAAATTCATTAGCAACTTCTATTATAAGGCAAGGCAATATAACTGTCTGTCTGTCACTTTAAATTTAATTTAAAATTTAATTACTATTTTACATTAAAATAGCTTTGAGGCGACCACATCATACCCAAGGTTTGGTTTTAGTACACGGACGTTGTCTTTTTTTTGATATTAGCGATAGAAGCTTTTTGTAGATTTTCTGAAATCGTGTTGTTAAAACGTTTATCTACATTTACTATATCACTGGTGACTCACTCTGGCTTCTCTTCTGGTTCGTCCCTATTGAAAAATTAAAACAAATCTATTCCACGGGAACTGTTCATTTTTCCGGAATGAAAACTAGCCTATGTGCTATTCCAGAATCTCTATCTCTGTGTCAAATTTTATCCAGATCAGTTCAGCCGTTGTGACGTGATTGAGTAACAAACATGAATTTGAAAACATTGAAATTATCGATACAGAGGCCGAATCTATAGTTTTTAGAATTTTTGTCTGTCTGTCTGTCTTTTACCGCATCACAGAAAAACCACTGGAGGGATTTTGATGAATTTAAGAGTATACTAATATGTAAAACCTAAGAATTTGGCTTTTGGTCATCTGAATGCGGGCGGAGCCGCAGGCACTGCTAGTTTTATAAATATAAACATTAAACATCCATAACTGGAGTATAAAAATTCGTGCTCATCACACAAATGAATGCCCCCAGCGGTTCTCGAACCCGCGACCGCTGGCACAGTAAGTACGGTCACTGCAAACTGAGCCAAAGGTGTCGTATAACATATATACATGCTACATATATCGACGTACTCGTATCTACCACAAGCAACGCCCCGGGATAAATCTAGTGAAGTGTTAGTAAACATAACTATCAACAATCTTTGATGCTGTAGTACTCGTACTAACACATGGTATTTTTTACGTTAAAATGACTCATATTCTTTGATTAAGCGTTAAGATATGTTACATAAACGTCTGCCTTTTTAGAGTTCCGTATGGGAATTGTGGGTTCTGCAAAATGATTTGCAACCTCTATATAAAACTCGCTACATACGCTCGCTTTGCTCGTCTGTACGTACACGTTCGTACGTCTTTGTAGCTGTTTTTAAATGAAACAATCTTTTCGGATTTTTTAGCAGATTTATTTTGATTCTTGGTTCACGACATTGCCTTTGAGACATCTAACACCTCAGTCTCTCCCGTGACCGTGATTGCTGTAAAGCATTCGAAACGTCGGGAACCAAAAATCATAATAAATATTCCACAAAATCCGAAAAAATAGTTTTATTTAAAATGTCAAATATTCGCGTAAATCTAAGAAAGCTCAAATCTAAGTTGTTTTAAGCTGTAAATAATAATAATGTCCTCCTGAATGATGTCGGCCACAGATCAATCTCACTGAGACTAGCCAACTGCAGGAGATATTACAGTGCAGTGAGTGAAGGAGAGCGCACTTTCCTAGTAAATGCTTTCTTTCACTCTCAAACATCGATAGAACGAGAATATGGACGACCGGCGAGATATTAGGCGCAGAACCGACGCCTTTTAACATGCTTTTTGAGACACGGAGATGATACACTAACTTCCCAACTCGGGGCTGTTACTGAGAATTTCTTTGCAAAAACTCTGTGGTAATTTTGGTCCACTCACTAATGTTACTACTATTAATAGGTCCAGATCTACTATCTAGATAAAAGCTTTATCTAGATAATGGTTTCATTTATAATGACCTATCCAAAAATATTCAACACAATCAAATTCTTCTTCCACCCCTAAATTACAGTGTGCAACCCTATTTTTTATTTATCGTAATTTAAGTTCACAAGAAACATGTGCTTACCACATTCCCACTCTGTAATACATAGGTACATACAAGTATATCTACACATATAATATTAACGAGGCTGAGTTTGTTTGTTTGAACGCGTTAATCTCAGGAAGTACTAATCCCATTTGAAAAATTCTTGCATTAGATAGCCCGTTTATTGATGAAGGCTATAGGCTATATATCATCCCGGAAAGATGTGCGTTTCCCGTGGGATAATTTGTTTTTTTCTAAGGACAAACCTGAAGCGAAGCGAGTGTGAGTCGCTAGTTCTAATAATCTCAAAGCAACATAGCTGTGAGATACAGACGAGTATTATAAGAGTTCTGTTTTTGCATATTGGCTACGAAAACTATAAAACAGAAAAGAATTAAAAATCAAATCGATCGACTATCGTTTAACCGACTTTCCGCCTGCGTTGTATTTTTATATCTTTATAAATAATTGTGTTATTTTAATATCTAAATTATATTACTGCAAAGTTTCATCCAAATCCGTTCAGTAGTTTTTGTGTAAATGAATAACAAACATACATCTATATATCTTCACAAACTTTCGCGTTTATAATATTACTAGGCAACTATTGACTTACTCACGTTTCGCTCGGGTTTTACATATCAAATACATATAATTACCTAGTTATTGCGAGTGTATACAGTGACAAACAGACATACAAACAAACAAGAATTTTAATAACTATTGCTTTGGGGTCTCTATTGTATACGTAATACGTTACAGTATTGTTTTAAAAAAAATCACGTACAGATTTTGTTAAGTTACTATTTTATTATATGTATAGATTAATATAACTCATTAAAAAATCCAAAAAACATTAAATATCTCATGCTTTTTTGAAATTGGTTAAATAATAAATACCACTCATACAAACGATATGTTAAAAATTTATTCAACAAACCGGGTCTTGTGTAAACAAAGCAGGACGCTTCCAGGAAACGCCATTTCTGTACTATGTACTCGTACACTAATAGCTTGCCCTTGCCGTACCTACTCGAGTATATAATATCAATGACATTTAAAAATAAAACGATTGTTAAAATAATATTTTTACCCAAAAACAAATTATGTAATAAAATAAGTTAAAATTCATCCAGCACAAAGAGAGAGAGAGATGTAGAGCGCCAAATATTTGAAAAAAAAATCTACTGTAAACTATCAGGGTTCACGAGATACAGCCTAGTGACAGACGGACGGACAGACAGACCGACCCTTTTTTGGTTCCGTACCCAATTGTAAAACGGGACCCTATTAGTAAGCTTCCGCTGTCCGGCCGTCTGTGTGTCAGCGACCTGTATCTCATGAACCGTACTAAATAGAGAGTTCAAATTTTCGCAGAGTGTATTCTATTGCCGCTATAACGACAAATTATAAAAAAATAAGATGGCAAATTTCAAAATAGCCGCCATGCAAATTAAAAAAAGACGATTGTGGTACGGAACACTATGTGTACGAGTCCGACTCGCACTTGTTCACAGAGCTGATACCCGCGCGTTCGTTTCACTTTATATCATCAAGCTTTCTTTATTAATATGTATTATTTTAAAGAAATGTAAAATATGCAAAAGACTGTAGCGACACACTCAAAACCTCCAGATCTTTTCGTTAGAACTTTCTAGCAATTTGATAGTGAAAATCGCGAACATCCTTGTTCATATGCATAATGTTGTATGAAATATAAGCACGATTTCAACTGTCGTCTATATATATATATATATATATATATATATATATATATATATATATATATAAAATTCTGAGTCGAATCATATTATTCGGAAATCTTATTGAAATAATTATTGTTCTGGAATACTGAGACCGAATCTATAGTTTTTAGAATTTTTGTCTGTCTCGGAACGCATCACGAGAAACCTACTTGACATATTTTGATGAAATTTAGTATGATGATAGTTGGTTATCCAGGTCAAATAAAATATAATAATACAATGCGGGAAAATATATCATCTGTGAGAAATCTATACGAAATAATACATAAGCGGAGTGAGGATGAGTCGCTAGTATTACATACAATACACAATACACCTACAGAGACAATATTTAATTTTGAGGTTGTATATATGAGATCGTTACGCTAGGTTTGATGAAAAAGTATGTATGTAAATATTATTTTAACGGAGATTTTAGTATCAGTCCCATACCAAAAAAGCCTTTGTTAAGAAATATTTATATATATAAACATTAAATTTTATAGCATAGGTACATTTAAAAACTAAGCGTATCAGACAGATAAAGAGATCGTTTTTACAAGATGTGAAAGTTTTGTTTGATACATGAATGATTGTAACACAATTATAACGCGACGTATAAAACAACTTCGAATAAATAATTGTAGTGGAAAAATGTTTTGTTTTTTGACAAACTTGTAATTGCCAATATTTATACAATAATATTTTTTGTCACGTTGTTTTCAATTGTTTCAAAGAGGATAGGTACGACTTTAATTATATATATATTTTTTTTATTTTAATTAGAATTTGTAGAGTATTTTTTGTGGCTGAAGAATTAAATTATTCTGCCTTAAAGTAAAGTACGATAAAAATGACATCATTAGTCTTATACATGAACGAATTATTCGTTCATGGTCTTATAATACGATAGAATAAGTATTATATTACACATTTAAAAAATGCCGATATCTATATTCTATTAGGTTTTTATGAATTATTATTTAATTTATAAAAAAATAACAAGATATTTATGTAAGACAGTATTTTTTCCTGTTTACTTAAAATCGGATATGAATAAAAAATATTTACCGCCATTCTTCCGCTCTACTTTTGAAATCCAAAGTCAATGAAACTTCACTTGGAACTAACTCAAGCACAACACTTCAGGCTTCACTAATTAAATAATAATAGTGAGTTATAAATACTTTTTGTTATAAAATTAATATAAACTTTATGTCATGTTTTTTCTTTTTATTTCTCGAGAAACGGCCAGTCCTGACCTGCGGCGGGACAAAAATGATTCGAAATTCGAATTTCAAATGACGCGACTCGAACGCAGACGTAGTATAGCCTGCGCGAATTGTAACTTTTAAACGCGCGTTTAAATATTTTTTGGTAAAGCTTATTAAAATCGTCATTCACCTCCATGTAAATTTCTAAGAAATTAATTAAATTTCTAAGAAATCTATTGTATAATAGTAACTGTAACGCCGGCGTGTCCGAGGTCGTTTAACGATACAGAGGCCGAATCTATAGTTTGTCTGTCTGGGAAGGAATCACGAAAAAACCACTGGACAGATGTTGATGAAATTTGATATGATGATAGCTGGTTATCCGGGTCAACATATAGGGTACATTTTACTGCAGGAAAATATCTCTCGTCCTCTCATTTGTCACTTCTGAGAAATCAATATTAACCATCAAATCGTACCTAGGGCATTAGTTATCTATTGTTAATTAGTATATCACCAATTTTTTTAATTTTTAACTATATTAAATACTTAAAATAACTTTAATTATCATTTTTAAATTAATATATAGAAAACACCATTAAAATCAGACCGGTTTAGATAGACTTAAAGTGTCGTTCTTTTAACACAATCATAAAAAAAAACTGTGCTTCTCTATTTATAGTTTATACCTTATAAAGAAAAAAATACCGGCAATAAGAATACATAAAAATAAAAAAATTATACCAACAAAACCTCCTATTTTGAAATCGGTGAAAAATACATCACGCGCAGACCATGTTATAGAACGCTCGAGCGCGGCTTGCGCACGGTGACGTCACAGTAACCGGTTCAACGTTTTTGTAAGGCGTTACATTCCTATCTCTTCAAGCTGTTTTAATCTTTATTTTAAAAATTAATAATGGCGACTTCAGTTTAAATTAGAAAACGAATGATTTACTTCCCTAGTCAGTAATAAAAGCTTTAAGCGCTTTGGAGTTTATAGAAATATTTTTTCTGGAAAATTTTAACTTAACATTATGTGTAAGTTGAGAGTGTCAGTAAAATTTTTGGCTTCATGTTTAGTTTTATGACGTAAATTTAAATAATTATTGCGAGTGCACCTTAGGAGAAAGACTTATACCGTTGAGATTTTTCTGTAGGCCTTATTAAGACCTATAATTTTGTAGTACATAATACATTGTGTTGATGTATCTTTTAAGGTTTAGCCAGCGTTAGATAGGTAACGACTCTATCACGGTCTCTATAAAACCAGTTATCGTGTTTTCTCGTGGGAATGAAAGACTTTTTCTGTAGTAATTGATATCCTAAATGTTGACCCAAGGCCGAGTAATAAGTTATCAAAATACACAAAATTTAGTTAAAATCGGTTCAGTACTTTTTGCGTGAAACTCGCACATCGACTTCGTAAAGTTACTATTTTATTATATGTATAGATTATTTCTTATTCAGAGTACAGAAGCTGTAGATAAAGCAACTCACGCCCGTGCGACTCCATTAAGAACTAGATATACAAAATTATCACGCTAATTTAATTTATATATGCGAAAGTTTCTCAGTATGTTTGTCTGACTGCATAATACTATGATTCTTCGTCAACTTTTTCTCTTCTTTTTAGTTTACTTCTTACACAGTCGGCTTCTTTATTTTTGTAAATATTTTTTTCATTTACAGCTTTTTAGTTTTGGTTAGTTACACAGTTTTAGTTTTATTTAACAAATTATATTTCTAAATTACTTTTAAACATATAATCTATGCTAATATTATAAAGCGACAGTTTGTTTGACGCGCTAATCTCAGGAACAACTAATTTGAAAAATTTCTTTTTGTATTAGATAGACCGTTTTTTGAGGAAGGAAATTTTTTATATCATCCCGGAAAAATATACGCTTCCCGTGGGATACATTTGTTTTAGTCTAGGGACGAAACCGAAGCGAAGCGAGGGTGACTCGCTAGTTTTTATATGTTTTTGTAATCGCCTCTTAAAAACCTGTATTTTGATACCCCACTCGGTTGATTTGGACGATTTTTTTTTCAAAACATACAAAATGGCGTCTAGGATCCGCCATTTTAATTTTTAATGATATCTATACGCTCTATGATACTGCCGTTATCAAGACAAATCGAATAACGTATGAATCATCAAAATCAGTTTAGCCGTTTAATAATTACGAGGGAACAGGGTTGGACATACATACATACATGCATACATAAATACAAGTCAAACACATAACCCTTTTTGGCCTTCGCCGCGGTTGGGTAAAAAAATATGAGCGCTCATACTAAGAATGGCTGAGTCAATGACATATGCAAAACACATAAGTTGATATACTCGTATAACTGAAAATTAAAACCTCCAGGTAAATTTCTAAGAAATCTATTGTTAACTGTAACGCCGGCGCGACCGCTGTCGTGGAGGGATTCATTTGAGCATTGTTACGTGCATATTGTTTTTGATGACAAATAAAACTGTTTTACTTAAAAATTTACCCAAAAGGCATACCCGACTTTAATATTATTTTAAAAGTAGCTAACTTTAGAAATATAATTATTTCTTATGTATGTTAAAAATACAGTTGAAAACAAGGTATAATAGTATTAAATATGACTCTACATATTATGTAAAAATTTGTATGTGTGAATGTTTGTTGCTTCATCATACTGTAACGGCTGTACGGATTTGTATGAAATTTAGTACACAGATGAGCTGAAGTAACATATGGGCTAATAATAAATAATAATGTAATATTATAAATGTGAAAGTTTGTGAGTTTGGATGTTTTTTACTCTTTCACGCCAGAACGGCTGAAGGGGTCTAGATGAAATTTGGCACAGAGATAGATTTATAGTCTGGAGTATAGGCTACTTTTTATACCGAAAAAATTTACGGTTCCCGAGCGATAGCTTTGTTTGTGTTTTCCCAGACGCGAACCCGAGCGAAACGAGGGTGAGCCGCTAGTTTTTAATAATTATAATGATACAGTCATTTGTAATAACTAATAATATATTGCATGTGGATTATGCCTACTGGGATGGGATACCACCATAAAAAATGCTTCAATTACTCTACGTCATGGTGGTCTGAAAATAAGTTTTTTAGTCATAACGCGAGTTGAGTAGACTTCGCAGCGCTTGTACGCTAAAACTATTCATTTTACAAAAAAAAGTAATTACATAAAATATAGCAATTTTTCTCTAGTTTCATTCATCACATATTAATTTTCATCGTAAAATGAGCGGGAAAGGAGATATTGTTAAAAAACTGTTTTTATAGTCGCCATTTTTTCAATATGGCGGCGCGAGCGGCAAAGATTACGAGGTAGTAAAAGTAGAAATTCGGAATGAGCACGTCGAAATCTATAAAATTAGCAATTTTTAAAACTTTCCAGGTAACCTATTTTTAAGTAGTGAATCTATATAATACCTACTTATTAAGGTACTAATATATATAATAATAATATATATACCTTAGGTAGTATATTAGTAGGTAATTAATTTCTGAGTCGAATCTGTACATTAAATATTTTTTAGAAAATCTTATTGAAATAGTCATTATTATTGATACAGAAGCGGAATCTATAGTTTTTTAAAATTTTGTTTGTTTGGGAACGCACGTGAAAACCGCTGGACAAATTTTGATGAAATTTGGTATGATGATAGCTGGTTATCCGGGTCAACATATAGGATACTTTTTAATGCGGGAAAATATTTCATCTATGAGAAATCTATACTAAACGATATAAAACGTAACTAGTTTACTACTATAAGTTTAATAATAATTAAAACGATGCGCTTGATTATTCAAACCAACGGAGGTGTGTAGAGGCTTGGCGTTTACGTCAACAATATAAATACCTTTTATATAATCTTTTGTGTTTAATCGTCTGACGCATTTCTAAGGTCACGAGTTCGGTTCAAAGGCTCTTTAAAGTACAATTAGTTACTTTAACAATTTACTAGTTTTTTTTTTGAGACGTAACACACAGCACCATCTAGTTCCATGCTAAGCTACGAGGCTTGTGTTATGGATACCAGATAGTTGATAAACTACACATATTATACATATTATAACTTTAAATACATACATATTATAAATATGTTCAGTTCAATTAAATTATTTTATTCAATTCCCTTGTTAATGGCTTCAGAGGGTGCCAGTTGAGCACAGATTACTTCGCCAATGTCAAGTAGAATGGAGAAGACACGAAAATATTTTATTTTTAATCACCGACGTAAAAACAACGGGCTGTTATAAGTTTGTCGTGTCTGTGTGTGGCATCGCAGATCTCGAACTGATGAATCGATTTTGATTTTGTTTTTTTGTTTGAAAGGTGAAGGCTATGTTTGATGAAAATCGGTCCAAGATGGTCGGGGGTTTTTAAAAGTTTTAATTTTTAGCATTATGTAAATTATTATAATTTTTTAACTGAACGTCAGAGACTAACCTTTGCCTGCGCAACCACCCGGTATATAATATATTTTTTGTATTTCCGTATCCATTCTCACACCATAAAGGTAAAGTCTTCATAAATTTCAATGTGTTTAATCTTGATTTTCACATCATTCCCTATTTTTAACCGAATTCAATCTATTAGGGCTTCCAAACAAATATACAACATTATAAGTGTATGAATGTACGTTTGTATGTATGTATGTTTGTCCACGCATTCCTCCGAAACTAGTAATCGGATCGTGATCATTCTTTTTTTATTAGCTTACGTTTATTTCAACTTGTGGTATAGTAAAGATTTCAACAAAATCGGTTCAGTAGTATTTATTCATGTATGTACTTAAAACTTTGAATTAGAATAGTCATCGCTTTAAACAAAAAAAATATTTCCAATTAAAATAACACTTTCGATTCATATACAAAAACTCAAGATACACAATTAGCGTCTCAGAAGTGTCTTCGAAAAGATGCGCATAAGTCAAAATTATGCGCTTTCTTCAAATCTCTTTTGTTCATTGCTTTTCGGATGGCAAAATTAAATCGCACGTTGTTTCGTTTAAAAAAGTACTTTATGTGGTGTGCGTAAGTTCGAATTTGTGTTTAGACAATTACACCTTTTGATTTTTGAATGTTATTCTTTGGTTTGACTTAACGTCACATGTCGACGCCACTTTTTAAGGAGATATATTTTGTTAGGAAATGTGTATCTGCTTTTAAATATCAATGAGACTTTCTTATAAACTAACCCCTTTTTACCCTTTCTTCCAAAATCCTTTCGATAATCCTCTAAGATAATAGCAGTTATACTTTTCTAGATTTCTTGATTGAGTGATATTTCGTTTTTAACCGATTGCGGCGAAGCCCAAAGAAGGATTATGTGTTTGATCTGTATGTATGTATATAATATACATAATAGTTCCTTCGTCAACTTATTTTCTTCTTTTTAGTTCGGTTTTTACGCTATAGGGTTTTTATTATTGTAATTTTTTTTTCAAGTTATACTTCTTTTGGCAGGTTCGCAAAAATTATGGGAGTAAAATTACTATGAAGCGCGCGCACACCGACAGCCAAAAAGCGACATGATGAAGCTGCATTCATTTTACAAAAGAGAGTTGTGACATACGGGATGAAATCTTTAGCTATTTTTGTTCTGTTACGCCAAAGAAGTATAACTGCTTACGTGCGTACATAAGTACACATACACACACATGTTTTTTTTAAATATAAATACTGATAATTTCCATGCATTCATAAATTTTCAATTTCAATATTATAATCAATTATATGATTGCTTACGTATTGCACTATGTGTGTTTGTTTAATAAAGAAATTAAAATTGCAAATTTGACCTTTGGCAATACTTTTGGAATAGGTTGAAGTCGTCATTTCTATTTATACGTTCAGTATTTAGTAGTCTGTAAGCACTTTTAAGTTAATACTTTCTTAGATTTACGCGAATATTTGACATTTTAAATAAAACTATCTATATATTATATTATTATTATTTTTGGTTCCCGACGTTTCGATTGCTTTACAGCAGTCATGGTCACGGGAGAGACTACGAAAACCTAAGATATGAACTTAGCTGTTGTATATGGAGTGGAGGGTGCTGAGTTTAAAAATTTAAAATTTTTCATGACTTAATTAGCTAATGAAATACTTGCATACAAAACCTTAACTATTTACGTAGTCTATACTAATATTATAAAGAGGTAGTTTGTGAGTTTGTGACGTTGTAGGGGGTAATCTTTGGATCTACTGAACCGGTTTAGATGAAATTTGGTAAGAAGATAGTTTGAGACCGTGGGAAGGACATAAGTTACTTTTTATCTCGAAAATTATTAATTAAGAGAGTGAAAATGGGAATGAAATTTTGTATTGGGAAGCAAGCTAGGGTAAGCTCGAGCGAAGCGAGGGTGAGTCGCTAGTTTATAATATTAGTATCAATAGTATGGATATTATTTAATATGTATGCATCGAAAAAAAATTTTTTTATTTATATTTGCCAAACAATAAATAGCTAACTTAAAATACTATGAATACGCAATACAAACTTAATAACATTATAGATTTTTTTTTATTTGAAATTAATAAACTCTAAATAATATGAAGACATGTAAAGAAATTATTTTATTTAAATATAGTTTTATAAACGAAAATATACTTTTCAGTTTTAATTTTTCTATTTATTTACAAAAACAAAAAAATCTATACAAATAGCGCCATCTATTGACATTTATTTGAACTAACTTTTCTTCGTGTTGCAACAATAGCAATAAATGACCATACATTATATTTATTCTCTAGGCCCGTGAATACACCGAATATGTTTCTTTAAATTGGAATTGCTTGAAAACGTCTGAAATAAAAATTGATATATTAGATATTAGCTAATTTAATCTAGTGTCGTTTTCATTTTTAGGAAAGATTTCTCAGAGATGATATATTTTCCTGCAGTAAAAAGTATCCTATATGTTGACCCGGATGACCAGCTAATAACATACCAAATTTCATCAAAATCTGTCCAGTAGTTTTCTCGTGATGCGTTACCAGACAGACAGACAAAAATTCTAATAATTATAGATTCGGCCTCTGTATCGATAATAATTACTATTTCAATAAGATTTTTCCAAAAATATTTAATGTACAGATTCGACTTAGTTGGAATTTTACCTAATGCTTATGTATAGATAATAAATAACATACTTTATTACAAATATCGCATTCGTGGCTTGTTAAATGTCGCCCCTTTATATGTGACGACAGAGATGTTTCTGATGAAAACTGCTTACTGCAAACCGTACACGAGTATCTAAAAATAAAAACAGTAATTAAAATTATATATATAAATATAACATAAATAAATATAAATATGTTGGGACATTAACACACAGCACCATCTAGTTAAATGGTAAGCTACGAGGCTTGTGTTATGGATACCGGATAGTTGATACACATATAAACTTTAAATACATACATATTATAAATAAATATAAACACCCATGACTGGAGTACAAACATTCGTGCTCATCACACAAATGAATGCCCCCAGCGGGACTCGAACCCGCGACCGCTGGCACAGCAAGTAGGGTCACTACAAACTGAGCCAAACGTGTCGCAAGTTAAAAAAAACGATTAGTACGTAATGTTATATCTTGTACGATGGTGCGGAACCCTTCGTATGCGACACTGGTTCGCACTTGACCGGTTTCTTTTTTTTTTGCCTAGCTGTAACGTATGGTGCTCGTCAAAATGAGTCGAACGAGTCCGCACTCTACGGTGTAACCAGTAGCCGTTGAAGAGTTCCACCATCAGCTCTTGGGATCAGCATCAGGTTACGGAGACGGTTTGTTATTGCATTATCATCCTGATTTTACTACAAAGTTTCAAAATGGTTCAGCTTTTTTTTTAACATCCCACTGCTGGGGGTAGGCCTTCCTTCAATACGCGTGGGATCAGGCCATAGTTCAACACATTGGCAGTTGCGGGCGGACTGAGATTTTGATTTTGGCGGATGATTTGCACATGACAATAAAAGAGAACCCGCTTCACTCGGTTTCCCAAGCGATTTTGTTACCACTGGGCTACTACTGCATTAAAGATAACAGAATTAGAAAAAAAAAACAAAAAATAACACATTTTTAATCTTCCTTGACCTTCACGTCGAAAGGGCTGAACGATTTAGGAGGAAATTCAGGGCACAGATAAAGTATGAGCTGGAGTAAGCCTTTAACCTGTAAACTAATTATAAATAATACCTTTTCTCGCAATCCCGTACATGTTTTTTCGATTCATTCAAATGCTTCTTTAAACTTTTGCCACTCTTATACAGAGTGTTACATTCCACACAATAATAATCTTTTCTTTTTGTATGCGTTGTTTGATGATACTTTAAATTCGAACTGGTTGTGAACTTCTTATTGCAAATATCGCAATTGAATGGTTTTACACCGGTGTGGGATCTGAAAAAAAGGGCGTTTGTATGTTTGTTACACCTTCACGTTGTCATATACATGTTATATACATACATAGGTATGACTTATCGTAGGTTATATTATAACATATTTCCCCGTGGGAATGAGATAATCTCCCCCGGTAGAAAGTACCCTATATCACTCTCCAGCCCTCCAACTATCTCCATACAAAAAATCACGCCAATCCGTCATTCCGCCAATACCCACATTATGTAATAATTATATTTTTTAATAAAAAAAATTCCTAAATTAAACAAAAATTAGATTTCAATGAGTTAGGCCATTTTGCTTTTGAAATATACCTGATATGAACTCTCAATCTCTGTTTCGTACTAAACTTGTCCTTACAATATTCACATATGAATTTCTTCTCCTTTTTATGCACACCCTGTATATGGACTTTTAAAGAGTGGTTATTACTGAAAGATTGAAATACATTATTAGTTCTATAAATACAGACAAATAAAATTGAAATGTCTGTGTGTAATGTCAAAATAACAGCTTTTTACTAAATGCATATGTAATTATAATTATACTTATAAGAAAAACATAGTTTTTAAAATTTTCGTCTGTCTGTTTGTTCGGCTGTCTGTTTGTTCGGCTAATCTCCGAAACGGTAGGAGCGATTTTGAAGGGACTTTCGATGTCAGATAGCTGTTGTTATAAGAAATTACTATTAAATTACTGTTGTTATAGAAAAAGAATTAAAACCCTTAAAAATGAAAAAAAAGCAAACAAATCGAAGGTTATCTTGGTTGAACTTATGTGGCGTGTCAAAATCATTTACTCACTCAAATATTTTCTTACAAATCTCACAAGCAGCCATAAACTTCATATATCCACATTTAAATCTGTGACAGTTCGCTTGATTCCATCTTTTGAACACCATGTTACATAAATTACATACAAAATTTCTGGAATGGGAGAGCAAATGCTGTGTCAAAACTAATGCTGATTTGAATTTAAGATCGCAGATTCCACATTTGTGTGGACCGAATGTCTGAAATAGAAAATGTTGAATTAATTATATGCAAAAAAATCCTACTAATCCATACTAGTGCTGCAAGAACTATTTTTTTCTACCACGAAAATAAAACTTTAAAACTTAATAAACCAAATTTATTTCTATAAAGTACCATATTAAAATAACATACTTGCTTACTTTACCTCCATATGCCTTTTTTCATGATCTTCATAAACATCGTCTGTCAGAAAACTTATACCACATTTTTCACATTTGTATGGCTTATTTAAATATTTCTCAAACGTTTTCTTCTTATTTATTTCATCCTTTTGCTCTTCGATTGTTAAAAATTTAACTTCAAACTGCATTTCTTTGTAATTGGGACTTTCGTTTTCACTAAAAAAAAAAAATTATTTACTAGCGGCTCAGCCTCGCTTCGCTCGGGTTCGTCCCTAGGTACGTTTTGACGGTTAGTATGGAATAGACAGACTATATATTATATGATATAGCCTATTGCCTATAGCCTTCCTCAATAATCGGGCTATCTAATGCAAAAAGAAGTTTTCAAATCGGCTTAGCAGTTACTGAGATTAGCACGTTCAAACAAACAAACTCTGCCTCTTTATAATATTAGTATAGATTCAACTAATTAAAGTAAGCTTACACAAAATATTTATGTCAATAAAATCTATCTTTATATACAAATCGATGTGTGTATGTCTATATATATGTATGTATATACCTATGGACTCTAGACGGCTGGAGCGATTTTGATAAAATTTTTAGGCAACCTTCAGATTAGGCCAACGTGATCCCGTGAAGTTTGGTAGCGATCGGAAGTTTTAATGCGGGCGAAGCCGCGTGTTCTGGTAGTAAAATATAAAATCTGACAGATGAAAATTGAAATACTTCATATTAGCAAGTACAGATACAGATCTCAAGATATTACGTTTGAGAACTGGGTAAAGTATATTTTGGGTATTTCTGGTTAGAAATTCTCAGTAACTCAGTAGTGAGTGAGAAGTCAGAGTCGTGCAATGTTACACTCTCATGAGTGGGAGATCATGTAAATTGTATGTTATGATAATAAAACAAATATAAAATGTCTGCACTTATGTGCTTAAACATGTTTGTAAAATTGTTTAAAGTTACTAAAATACAAAAAAAATTCAAAAGACATATTAGGGCACCAAAATCGGCCATTTTTAATTTTTATAATTTTGATATACCCAGCCTTACTCTTACTATTAAGACGAATCTAACAAGCCGTTTAGGCTATAGAGTGTGTCAAAAAAATATACACACATACATCCACTCGAAAACATAACCTTCTTTCTGGCGCAGTCGGGAAAAAGGACATTTTATTATATACTAGCATTGCCCTCGGCTCCGCCCGCGTTCAGATGGCGAAAAACCAAATTCTTAGGTATTATATATTAGTATACTCTTACATTGCAGTTTTTGCATTTTTTTCTCAGAAACGAGATATTTTCCCGCGGTAAAAAGTATCCTATATGTTGAACCGGATAACCAGCCATCACCATACAAAATTTCATCAAAATCCCTCCAGTGGTTTTTCAGTGATGCGGTAACAGACAGACAGACAAAAATACTAAAAACTATAGATTCGGCCTCTATATCGATAATAATGTTTATTTCAATAAGATTTTCCAAAAAATATTTAATGTACAGATTAGGCTTAGTTACAATTTTATTATATGTATAGACTAGCATTGCCAGCGGCTCCGCTCGCGTTCAGATGACCAAAAACCAAATTCTTAGGTTCTACATACTCTTACATTGCAGTTTTTGTATTTTTTCTCAGAGATGAGATATTTTCTCGCGGTAAAAAGAATCCTATATGTTGACCCGGATAACTAGCTATAATAATACCAAATTTCATCAAAATCCCTCCATTGGTTTTTCCGTGATGCGGTAACAGACAGACAGACAGACAGACAAAAATTCTAAAAACTATAGATTCGGCCTCTGTAGCGATAATAATGTCTATTTCAATAAAATTTTCCAAAAAATATCTAATGTACAGATTCGGCTTAGTTGCAATTTTATTATATGTATAGATTACATAAATAATATTACCAAATAACAGTATCAGCTTCTTTTTCAACATTTTCATTCACATTCAAACTTTTTTCTATTAAATTGTTCTCGTTTAAACAAATTTCATCAAATGGACTAATATCTATTGATTCATTTCTGTATATTGTTAAAGTAGATGGGTGATGATTGCTTCGTTTGACCTGAAAAATACTATTAAATTTTCACTAATATTATAATTTATAAATATAAAAACTAGTGAGTGGGTGTTTGAGCGAGTGAGTAGGTGAATGGGTGGGCGAGTGAGGAGTGTGTGTGTGAGTGAAGAATGTGTGAGTGAAGAATGTGTGAGTGAGGAGTGTGTGAATGGGTGAGAAAGTGAATGGGTGAGTGAGTAAGCAAGTGTTTGTTATAACTTAATGCTAAAAAATTTAAAAGACTTGAATAACATTAGGAATACTACTTAAATATGGATTAAAACATATACTTTAAATACTTTTTATTCAGAGCAATCATTAATAAGAAATAAGAGTTAAAGATAAGATAAATTTGACTATGAAATTTATTGTAGATATAGATAGGGAGCAAGTACTACATCTAACTTGATTGTTTTCTCAAAGTTTTTATATTTGATGAAGAGATTATATTTTCCAGCACTCTGCTCGCAGAGTTTAATAATTTCTATATCTATATAAATTATAGGATATGCACATATAAATTATAGAATATGCAGTACTGCAATATAGATATAAGCTATAATACAGTAAAGTATCATCAAAATCTGTTCAGTAGTTTTGGCATGAAAAGTAACAAACATACATCCAGTCTCACAAACTTTCGTTTTTATAATATTACTAGCCTTACTTTAGGAATTAAAATGATTCTTTTATATATAAAAAGGTATTACAAGTGTATAATATCACCTTAAGTTAGATATATTTACCTCAGAACTTTTAAATTTATTTTGAGAGTTTTCAATTAATTTTACAAACTTTATTACTTTCTTCAGTGATACTGTGCACCATATGCATATAAACTTTACTTTTAAATCCTGCAATAAAATATATTGAATTACCAAAATAATTTAATTGTATACAATAGAAAAAATGATTTTTTTGGAACTTATGTACAATTTACCTTATAACCTAAAACATCAGTAAAAAAACTTTTGTAAGCTTTTGCAGAAAAAGTGTTATCGCAGATCATCAAACAAATATTACATATCTTATCAGTGATATCCATCTTAAAGAAATAAATTAAAATTACTGTGTATAATTAATAAAGTGTTGATTTAATTGTTTTGTAAACAACCTTGAACTTGAATATTTTTGTTATGACTTATGACTTTTTAATTAATAATTATCATATCATCAATCTGTAGCGCTAGTGTTGTAGTTCGCACAAAATACACTCGTACAATACAGTTCGAGTTAAATCGAAAAAGTAATCGATTTTAATATCGATATTATTTTAAAAACTAAATCCTAAAAATATAGAGAGCTTTAAATATTTATAATTAAAAGAAATACAATACAAGCACCTATGTCATTATTATTAATTATTGAATAATTTTTATTAAAAAAAAATTAGATTTCAATGCGACATTATAATTAAGCAATGATTTTAAATGTTAAAATCGTATTTGAATAAGAAAAATATTATTGAAATTATAAATAACTCAGCGGCTCACTTTCGCTTTGCTCGGGTTCTCCTCCAGAAAAAGGAAAATCCCACGGGAATCGTGCATTTTCCCGAAATAAAAAATATTTCAATTATGCTATTCCAGACTATAATCTATCTCTGAGCCAAGTTTCATCCAGATCCGTTAAGCCGTTCTCGCGTAATTGAGTAACAAACATCCATCTAAATAATAGATAACATATCTTACTAGATACCCTACATAATCTGTGATATAAAAAGCTTACAGAATACAGATAACTAATTAATTTATTATTAACTTAAAACTTAAATGTCAAAAGTCAAAACATGTAATTTGTAAATTGTAAACAAAACTATTGTAAAGTTTTTAAAATAAATGTATAGTATTTCTTTATATATTTGACAAGTATTTAATATAAAATGAATGAAAATTATTTGAATATATGTCAGACGTGCTTAAGTTGTGACCGTTCGTTGTTTCCAATAGAGAAATTGGAATCTTCAATGAAGAATTTAAACGTTACATTATTTAATGTACGTAATTTCACTTAATATTTCCAAAATGAGATATTAACTTTATTATAACACAATTATATTATACTTCCTTACATTTATTCGCAAATATTTGACATTTTAAGTAAAACTATCTTTTTGGATTATTTCGCGGATTTATTTAGATTTTTGGGTCCCGACGTTTCGAATGCTGTTTCGAAATCATGATCACGGGAGAAACTAAGTTTTCGAGTCTCAAAGGCGTTATATCCTTGTAACAGACAGTGTGTAATAAATAATCCAAAAATATAATTTTATTCAACTACCTATATTTCTAAATATATTATCATCTTTTATTTAGATAATAATAGTTGCAATATTTAAAATTCAATATTGTATTTTTGTATTAAGGATCGCCAAAAAGCCAGAATATGTTGGGAATGTAAAGCAATTATAATAAAATTATCAAAGTTTAGAGAACAGGTTTTGGAAGCTCAAAGGCTACTTACGTACAACGTAAAGGTATTATTTTTTTCAATTTAATATATAATTTAATATAATATTTAATTTAAACATTACATAATACAAGAAATATAAGTAAAAATTACTAACATTATTTATATGTATAAAAGTAAATATTTTCTTGATTTTGTCAACAATTAAACTCAAATTTACTTTTCAAACATTTCCCAAAATGTATTTTTCATACATTCTTTCAGAACATATCTCCATTAAGCCCTTTAAAGCTTCAATCAAATGAAAAAATTATTAATTTTACATATGAAGAGAACAGCAATATCAATCAGATAACTTCAATAAAAACAGAGTCTGATGAAAATAAGTTTAATTCAAGTAAAACAAATGAAATTCATGAAAAAATTCATGATTTGGATATAATTAATTTAAGACATATTCCCAATGACATTAATTCTAATAAGAGTAAGAAAATTAGCAAAAACTACACTAAATTCAAGGATAAAATAAAAACAATAACTTTTACCGAAGACGAGATGCTGAATAACAGAGAAAATAAAAGGAATCGACCGAATTTCAAGAAAATACCATTTAAATGTGAATCCTGTGTACATGGTTTTACTAGAAAGGATACTTTACTTTTGCATATCAAGAAAAAACATCATGAGGTAATGTGAAATATTGAATTACTTTGGTGATTTACTTATTATTATAAAATAAAGGGCCTGGGCACAGGCTTCCCTTCAATGTGAGGGGATTTCACGGGACAAGTGCGGGTGGACTTCAGTCATAATCATTTTGGAAATGATTCGCACATGAGAATATCAGAGGTGTGAGACTCGGGATTTGAAACCACTTCACTTGGTTTCTCAAACGAGTATGTTACCAACAGTGGGCTACCAGTGCTTTAAAAATATGAATAATGCTTTTTTTTATTTCAGTCTCTAGGACAATACGTGTGTCCCGTATGTCAGATAAGGTTCCCAACACACAAAATGATGTCACGACACAAAACTCGACACTACACAATACACAAGTGTTTGTTATGTGGCTATGACACTTTCACACTAACAGCTGCGATCAAACATTGTGTCGTGAAACACAAAAGAGATACTTATGGTTTAATACATTGTCGACAGTGTGAAGATACTGTTAGGTAAGTCTTAAATAAAACTGTCTTTTCTAATTTTTTCGCGAATTTATTTTGATTTTTGGTTCCCGTTTCAGGGGATGAATTTCCAAAAAAAAAATTGTATTTTTTTTACAAGACAGGCAAAAATTATGCAAATTGTTTTTTCTTTTAAGTACCATATATAATTTTATATGCGTTTAGTAAAAAGCTGTTATTTTAACATTACACATAGACACTTCATTTTTTATTTATATATATACATATATCGATTAATACTTTGCCACATAAAAGTCCTATGGACCTTTTGAAAAAGATCAAGAGGACATTATTGAAGCCATTTTTTTTTTCAGCACAGCCGAAGAGTTATCAGACCATATAAAAACTAAGCATACTCTAAATTGTAGTGAGTGTGGAGAAAAGTTTAAAGGGAAACACACATTGAGAACGCATATAATGTAAGTATATTTATATTTTCCATACTTAATATTACAAATATCGAAGTGTGTTTGTTTGTCCTTCTTTCACGTTAACACAGAGTGACGGATTTGCGTAATTTTGTGTGGAGATAGTTGGAGGGCTGGAGAGTGACATAGGCTACTTTTTACCGCGGGAGATTATCTCATTCCCAGGGGAAAACATGTTATAATACAACCCACAAAAACTTATCATACCTATGTATGTTTGGCTTAGTTTGGAGTGACCCTACTTTCTGTGCCAGTGTTGTGTGGTTCGAGTTCCGCTGGGGGCATTCATTTGTGTGATGAGCACGAATGTTTGTACTCCAGTCATGGGTGTTCATATTTATAATATGTACATATGTATTTAAAGTTATATATCATATATGTATAGTGTATCAACTATCTGGTATCCATAACACAAGCCTCAAAGCTTACCATGGAACTAGATGGTGCTGTGTGTTAATGTCCCAACATATTTATTTATTTATTTATATTTATTGTTTCAGGCGTATACATTCATCGCACCGCGACTTCACATGCGATATATGTGCAAAAACATTCAATACAAAATCCCGCTTAGAATCTCACATAACATCCCATAATGTGGCCATAGCTAAAAAACTTTCATATTGTACAATATGTCAAGTCCAGTATAAAAATATATATGTATATAGGAACCATTTGAAAAACAGCAAAAATCATTCGGAGAGACTGTAAGTATATTTTTATAAGTAATTAATTTACATCGATCAAAAAAGTACTAGATACACAATCCCATTCAGAAATTCTCTTAAAACTGTCACCAATTATGTTTAGGTAATTATTCTAGTTGAAATAAATATACGACAATGTAAATTGAACCTTAAATGCAATGCTTAAAGTTGTTTTCACAAAAAAAAAGCGCGCTCTAATTTTCAAATGAGCGCTCATTCGGTGAGGACATTTTTTGTCGCTGATATTGTGTATCTAGTACTTTTATGATTGATGTTAATTTAACAGTGAATAAGAACTTAATGAAATCCCACGGGATTTTTATAGCATAACTAGTGTGACTTACCCCCGTTTCACTCGAGTTCGTCCCTAGGTACGTTTTTACGGTTAGTATAGATTTCTCAGAGATGAGATATTTTCCCGCAGTAAGAAATATCCTATATGTTGACCTGAGTAACCAGTTATCATCATACCAAATTTAATCAAAATCTATCCATTGCTTTTCTCGGGATACGGTCACAGACAGACAGACTTACAAAAATTCTGAAAACTGTAGATGTTTATTTCAATAAGATTTTCCATAAAATATTTAATGTACAGATTCGGCTTAGTTACAATTTTATTATATGTATAGATAGACTAATAAGTTACACTTACTTCGCTCGTATACTCACGTGTACTCGTACTCACGTGTGCTCGTATACTCACGTGTACTCGTACTCACGTGTGCTCGTATACTCACGTGTACTCGTACTCACGTGTGCTCGTATACTCACGTGTACTCGTACGTGCACATAGCGTTGCTACAGTTTAATAGGAAAATCTTTTTAAGAGGAATAATTCTGTAATACATTGTTATCATATAACTTTATTAGTTTACGCGGCGCACGTTCATAAAGCTTTGACAATCATCGTCATATTACAGCCAGTTTACACAAAAACTTAATGAATTATACACTAAAGTCTAAACCTTCCTCATGAATCACTCCATCTATTGGTGAAAACCTTAAAATCCGTTCGGTAGTTGTTGAGTTTATCGCGTTCAGACAGACAGACAGATGCGGAGATGGACTTTATTTTATAATATGTATAGATAAGATAATCTTGCTTGGAGAACCGAGTAAAGCGAGTTCGAATCTCGGGTCTTGCACCTCTGATATTATCATGTGCGAATCATTTCCAAGATGATAAAAACTTGTCTCCCAATGAAAGAGAGCATCGTGAGGACACCTGCATGTCTGAGAGAATCTAGCAAGTTGTCTGCAGACATGCTCAGTCCGCCCGAACTTGCGCGGCGTGGCGGACTATGAAATTATCCCCCTAGTATTAAGAGGCCCACTCCCAGCAGTGGGACGTAAAAGAGACTAAATACTACGTCATACGGGATTCATTTGTAGTAGCGGGATATAAAGACAGCAACAATCATTCGGAAAAATTGGATTTTAAAAAGAAATATACACATGAATATATTATTACTAAGTTTTATAACAAAATATTTTTTGTTTAAATTTCAACATTATTTACCCATATGTAATAAAATTTAAATAAAATACAGTAAAAGAAATGGATGTTTTTTTTTTCAAAAATCCGATCTTTTAAATTTTTTTTTAAATTTAATAGATTTGGATTTTTTTGTTCCCGACCTTTCAAATGCTTTACAACAATTATATATGGAACCAAAAACCGTGAAAACCTAAAAGGAATATTTATAATATCTCATATTTATAATATCAAATACTCGTGTAAATCTAAGAAAGTATTAAATCAATAGATATAACGCCATCTGTTGACATTTAATTGAACTATTTTTTTAGATATCCTAAAAAGTATTAACTATACCGATAAATAAAACTGAAGTGTCTGTGTTTAATGTCAAAATAACAGCTTTTTACTAAATGCATAATATGAAATTATATATGGTACTATTTTGTCTGTCTGTTCTGGCTAATTTCCAAAACGGCTGACTGATTTTGGCAAGACTTTCACTGGCAGATAGTTGATGTTATAAGGAGTAACTTAGGCTACTTCTATTTCAGAAAAAGAATTAAGGGGCCGCTCCAAAATATTAAAACGTATCTACACTACCTAGGGACTAAAAATAAATTTAACCCGATTTAGTTCATTTTTATTATTAAATTATTTCTTTTTTAGATACCATTGCAAAGAATGCAACAAAAAATTTGCATCGAAGGTTTATTGGAAAAAACATTATGATTTCTATCATTTAAAGAAATCTCCATTTAAATGCGAATCTTGCAATAAGGTAAGAAATATATATACATATATGTATTCGGCTTTTTAACGTCCCACCGCTGGGCGTGGGCCTCAATGCGATGGAATCATTTGGAAAAGGTTCTGATGTCATATTGAGGGCAGCCCACGCCCAGCAGTGGGACTGTAAGGGCTAAATGCAATAGATAAAATACAAATAACATACTAATGACGATACGTTAGACTAAGTTTGTAGTGACCCTATTTTCAGTGCCAGCGGTAGCGGGTTCGAGTCCTGCTGGAGGCATTCATTTGTGCGATGAGCTCGGATGTTTCTATTCCAGTCATGGGTGTTTATATTTATAATATGTATGTACCTATTTAAAGTTATATATGTGTAGTGTATCAACTATCTGGTATCCATAACACAGGCCTCGTAGCTTACCATGGAACTAGATGGCGCTGTGTGTTAATGTCCCATCATATTTATTACTCTTTTTTCAGCTTTTCATGTCAGATTGGCGTTTGAAAAACCATAGACAAAAACATCACGGGTTGAACAGAACCAGAGACCATATGTGTAATATATGTGGAAAGAGTTTCTATGTAAGTATAAGTTAGTAAAAAATTTTTTTCTGAGTTTGAGGATAGAAAAGAAACTAAATTTTTGAGAAAATAAATAAATACTCGACATTTTAGAGTGCCCACTGATATTTTAAATAAATAATTAATTTAAATTTTCGGTTTGAATGAATTTTTTTTTTCGCTTGATCATCTTTGAAAAAAAAACACAAGAATTGACGAATTTATTCATTTTCTTTCAACTTTCACTGTAATACAAAAAAAGTAACATGTTATTTTTTTCAACTTTTTTTAACATTTCAAAAATTCAATATTACGAAGCGAAGGTCGCGTCGCTAGATTGATATAAAACCTTTTTTAGTACCGTACTATTTAGAAAAAAATTATTTTGTTTTATTTTGGGTTGCTATTATTTATTTTAAGTCCATTAGTTTTAATTCCATTTTAATTTTAAATACCATATATATTTTTCATTTTAGACCCAATCGACTCTCAGAGGTCACAAGCTAACGCATTCAGACGAACGGACATACATGTGTTCGAATTGTGGTGATACCTTCAAACAACGGCCCGCTTTATATACTCATTGTAAATTAGTTCATAGAAATGAGAAGAATTAGCTTACTTTAAAAAGAAAAAGAAAGAGTATTGAAGAAGATTTAAGAAGTTGAAGAAAAGTTCAATTCAATACTGTTGTTAATAATGGTTTCAAAAAATTTTTCTTAATATTACATTAAACTATGTAATGGGTTTATTTTGTTGTAAATATATTTAATACAAATAAATACTAAATAATATTCTATTATTTTGCTGAAGATTAATAAAAATAATAAAAATAGTTTTTTTTTTAAAACCGACTTCAACTCAAAAAAACACTAAAAAGTAAAAAATAAGTAATTGGTAGTTTTAATTTACTATATTTGATTTGCTTCGGCTGGTGTTTAAAAAAAAACTCTTTTTAATGTAGATATAGTAGTTGCAAAGTAAGAAGAAAGTATTTTATTATAATACTAGCATTGCCCGCGGCTCCGCCCGCGTTCAGATGACCAAAAACTAAATTCTTAGGTGTTACATATTAGTATACTCTTACATTGCAGTTTTTGTATTTTTCCTCAGAAATAAGATATTTTCCCGCGGTAAAAAGTATCCTAGGATCGCGCGCTACATCGCCCGGTTTATATAGCTTGAGCAGGCGGTCGAGCGATGCGGGGCAGAGGGGATGGACTCGCCGTAGGCATCTCAATGCTCGCCAAGCATTAAAAATGTTTCGCTACTAATTACTTCTAACAACGATATCTCAAAAACTATTCATCTGATTGATTTAGTGTAAAGAGCAATTTTAATCTGCATTAAATGACTAAGCTAACTAAAATATTCATTTGGATAAGGATTAATACCGAACTAAAGAAAATAACTTTGAAAATAACGTAATGTTTTTAATTAAAAATGTTAACATAAAAGTGGTTATTGTAAGTCAACCGTAAGAGATAGAGATATGCTATCGCGGACTTTTTTGTAGCATTTTTATAGATTTTGAATTCTCTAGTACATTACTTAACTGTATCTTTGCTAGTTTACGCGGCGTTCGCGTGGAAAGTTCCCATTTGGCGAGATTTTTTGCGACCTCTTCAACATTTGTCGCCGTATTTCAGCTAATTTACATAAAAGCATAATAAATTATATACCTAAACCTTCCTCAAGAATTACTCTTTCTATTGTTGAAAACCGTATAAAAATCCGTTCAGTAGTTTTCGAGTTTATCGCGTTCAGACAGACAGGAGGACAGACAGGAGGACAGACAGGAGGACAGAAAGACGCGGCCGGGGGACTTATTTTTATAATAAGTATAGATAGATTGGCTTAAGCCGTTAAAGTTTGATGCTATTTTTTATATGAAGACTGATAACTAAAATTAGCTTTTATTAGTAACACTAAACATCTGGCACTTAAATCCAATTCTAACGTATTGAAACGCTTGTCAAATCAAACAAAATAAGCCCAAACTCAAAGTATCTACTATTAGCCGTTGAAAAGTTCCACCTATCCACCTTCTAGCCTTACCATCAGATCAGGTTAACGATACCGAAACATCAACAGAAATAGAAACACTTGCAAAGTTTCAAGTTATTATGACAAAAGTAAGTTAAATTTTCAATATCTATTTTTCCACCCTTAGTGGTGGTTTTTTTTTTCAAATTTAAATGGGACCAAATTGGAAGTATACACTTTCAAACTAAAAATGTTAATAAATGACGGAGTTCTGAGGTAACAAAAAAATATGCTGAATAGAGTACCTCATTTTTAAAGTCTGTTGAAATGAAATGTTTATGTAAAGTCAATAATGCCCAATATTCAGTCAACAAGTGCCTTTTAGGTCAAATTTCTTCATCAGTCTCGGAAAAATATTAACGAGGTGTTATTCTTTGGTCCTAAAAATGCGAACAGTTAAAAAAAAAGGATAAAAATGAAACATATAACGGGCCTTAGTTAAAGTTTTCTGCAAGCTACTAGGTATAAATTTTAAGATCGAAATAAAAAGTAATACTTAAGTAAACATTATCTATTTATTTAATTTTAAAGTACTAAGTAGCAAGTAAAGTACCTATTATGATTCTACAATAAAACAATTACAGTTATAAAACAATTTAGCCTAGTACTTTAGTTACGACGACTGTACCTATGCGCAGACATCCCCTCCTCTGTCACTCGGCGTTCTTTTTACGTGACGGGACCGGTAATTGTGTACATTCAACTGATTGTAATTAAATGCCTAATATTTTGTTTATGTACATTCAACTGATTTTAAATAATTTTATAGCTCTCATTATAACAGAAAAAATCAAATCTCAATTCTCTAGGGTGAAATATCGATTCACTAAATCGATTCAGTATTATATATTGATTAAAACAATCCATCTTCATGGCTATAAAAATCGATTCTTCGATTTATCGACCTCAGATGGACATGCCTATGTCAAACGTAGATCTTATTATCGATATTTATTATTTACTATTTAGTCTGTCATCTCACCGACTCCCGAGTAAAAGTATTTTGTCACTCGTGAGTCGTGGTTATGTGGTCATTTGTGATCGGTGAATAATAAATACTAATACAACAACAATTACAAATGGCGACGGTGATATATTCATAGATTAATGAACGTTATTTTTCAATCTGCATTATGTACATTGTAAAAGATATTTCACGTTATAATATTTTATTAGTTACACGTTGTTACGAAGATGTTTCAGTTTTTAATAAATATGATGTAATGAAATTAGTCGTAAAGAAATAATTTAGACCAGTTAATACCGTCTAAAACATGAAGATCGAATATTTTTGTAGGTAATTGAGTTTTAATTTGTAACAAATCAAAATATTGCAAGCATTTTTTTTAATCGTGTCTCTGTGCTTTAATATATACATAAAGTAGGTATTATATACATCGAAACAATTTAAAGGTACATTGAGGTCAGGGGTAGGGTTCCCAACTTTTTGTACGATAAATGAAGTATATGAAGGTCGCAAAAAAAAAAATGAACTGTACTTATTTTACAAAAGAAAACAGTATTTATTATTTTGACGTTTAAAAACACATTTTTTGGAGCTTCTTGCACAATTTAACAATTTACTCTGACTTTTGAAATATAAGTCTCTTCACAATTTAAGTTAATAATGAAATAAAGAAGGAGCTCATTCTTTATTAAATCAATAGGAGCTCTGTTTCTGTCATCCCACCACTTTGCATTCATTACAGAAAACACTCTTTCGGTAAAGGCTGAAGTTGCTAGGACAGAAAGTATGTAGGTATGAAACAATTTTACAGATGTTTTTAAATTCTTGTGAAGTGTTGACTAATAAATGACTCCATTTTTGGCTAGTATTCATACAAAGAAAATCTTTGTCCTTAGATATTATTTCATAACTAACTTGGAATTGTATTAATTCTGAATATAAATTATCCATTTCAATATTAAGACTATGCAAATTAAGATTTTCAATATTTTTTTCGAAATGATCAAGGGTGACTAAAGACCAGGTTTGGCATGAATAAATCGTTTTGATTTAAATCATGATTTAAATCAAATTACATTTCTATAAAAATCAATGATTTAATCAAAAATGTTTAATTTCACTTTCTTACACAGAAACCATCATAAAAAAGATTTAAAAATTATAATTAAGTTGCCAACTTGGCTCGTTTAAATCAGAAATCAATATCATTTTTTCTTGAATCTTCCTCTTCACTAAATATATTTTTCTGTGACATCCACCACTCTAATGGTGTCACATTTTTTACTATTTCCTCTGCAAACATTACACTTCTGAATGGTTTTGATTTTGCATTTAACGTTACTGTCAATGATAGCAAAACTGAACCATTATAGTGATTTCGTGCTTCCTCGAATGCACTTTCTTCTTACCAAAAAGTGACTCAGGGACATTGGTTGCTTATATCTCTTTTGAAACTTCGACATTTGGCTAATATTTACATCAGTTTCATCAAATTTAGCTTCAAGCTTCTTCCAAGCCATTACAGCAGTAGACAAATTTGCATTATTTCTTTGTAAAGTATCCAACATAACAGATATTGGCTTCAAAATTATTAGATAATCTTCCACTGACCTCTTTATGGTCATATTTTCAACATACATTCAACTTTTGCTCTAATAACAGGATCTATGATGTCCCTGTTCTCATCACATATGTATTTTTAATAGCTTTCGCCACTCGGACACAAAGACTTCGAAACAATCAGTTACAGTATTCCAACGAACATCTTGTGGCAACACTAATGCTTTCCCTTCATCCGCTTTGTACAAGCTGTTAGCAGCATGATTGTTTCGGAAATATTTTATTATTTGCACAACATGCTTCTTTATACATACTTTTTTTTTAACGTCAGGAAATCCCTGTTCCCGGGTACCCATCCGTCTGGGGAAGCGGAACGGGTTATGTGGGACTCCTGCCGCGCAAAGATGGTAAGCGCACGGCAGCCTACACACTAAAAACCTGACGAAAGGCCACTTTGTCGCCACAAGGCTGGGATTAATGCTCCTTTATACTGCTAATTTCTAAATCTTTGGAAAACAAGTTCAACAAGTGTGCAGAACAGCCGTATGTGATTATTGTATCACTCTTTTTTAATTACTTTCGCAGCGTTATTGGTAACAAAACTTGCAACATTACAATTATATTGAGACTTTAATCTTTCTATCAAACCCTCAGCAAGTTTGGAAAGGTATTCACCAGTGTGCGGTTTACCTGTGGTATCTATCGAGTCAAAAAGAATTACTTCAGATTGCTCCGTCGTAATAGTGGCACAAATAATCGGTTCATTGTGAACGTTAGACCACCCATCTATAGACATATTCACTTAACTACCAGATAGATTAGAGAAACACCGTTCTTTTTCTTCAAAGGTACATTTGATCCAATAATTTGCCTGATATATCCTTTCGAGATGGTGGGATATACTCTGGGCGTAATAATGAAATGGCTTTTTTAGTTCTCGATGTTCAATAATTCTGAAGCTACACTTTGTAGCAAACATAGCCTTTGCTATTTGCATCATAAATGAAACTGTCTTTTCAGATTTTTTCGCGGATTTATTTTGAATTTTGGTTCCAGGCGTTTCTAATGCTTTACAGCTATCATGGTCACGAGATAGACTAAGGTGTTTTTACGTCTCTAGAGGTTTATATAGGTACTTGTCACAAACAGTGCCAAGCCAACAATTTACAAAAAAAAACCAAAATGGCACCAAAGTACCTTATAAGATTATATGTTTTTATTCTACACATTTTAAATTAAAAAAATTTAAAATTATATTATGTATAAATATGGCAATATTATTATCTTATTTTTAGCTAATATTATTATAATTATTACAATTTTTTGCTTCACATGTCAGACAAAAGGAAAATCCCCGCGCTCACGCTGTGTCCGCGCAATCCCTTGAGATCAGTGATGATCAGTTCCTTGTGATCGCGTTCACAGAAATCGTGATTAATTAGCATTTTTTTTTAAAAACGTAGTTTATTCGATTTCTAAAAATAATCATGATTTTTTCCACCCCTGCCAAAGATTCATGACAAATGACTGATCAAAGAAAGCCAATTAGTTTGATTGAAATCAAACTATTTCTCTAGAGTCTAGATATATAAAATAGCTTTATATATAAAAAGTATGAAGCTATTAACAGTTCTACTAAAATCATCTTGGGAGGACTCTGCAATAGTTATTAAGATTTTTTTTGATTCATGGCCAAAATATTTTCTTCACATTAACTCATTTTTAAAACTATCCATAATGTTATAGACATCTAAAACTGTTAAATTGTGTCCTTCTAATGTTTTAATAGTTTTGTTAAACATATTCAATATATGACTAGCATATAAAAGGTAACAATAAACTAGATTATTATCCAGTTCTCTATCCAACATTAATAAATTTTGTTTTAAATCCGTACTAACAAGGTCGGATAGTCGGCCACTAGTTGGTACATCTCTAGAATAAATATAAAATGTCTTCCGTTTAAAATACAAAATGCATTTTTGTTGTCATCAATTTCCTAAATGTTCTAGTAAAAATGAAATATATATTTTAGTCCCAGTGGTAAAAAATACTAGCTTTGTTTCTAACTCGTTTACATCAACAAGTACCTCATCATCTTGCAAATTGACCACTTCAAAAATATGACTTAATAGAGCCGTGCCAAATTCTGCTGGTGTTATTCCAAGCTCACGGCTGTATAAATATCAGGTATTATTAATCAAAACAAAATCATGTATTTGAAATATTTTTGTAGATTTTAACTGAATAACCGCATCGTTAGTCTTTTTTGGACATGTATACTTAACACTACAAAGAACTTTTTTTAAATACATCGACTGTAGATTTTACATAATTGTAGTTCTGGAATATATAGGTCATGAATTAAGTCATTAATTCTCTTATTTGGTTCATTTGCTCTGCCAGAAAGCATTGCATGATTACTTGTGCGTAAATAATTATTGGTTAACTAGTGTGGAAGAAATAGTTTTTCACAATAATTACAAGTCGCTGATTCGGTATATAAATATTACGTCGAATATTTCTTTTTCTAAGAGATAAGGTTACTATTTGAGAAACTCCATAAGCAGCATTAACTTCACGTTTATAATAAAAAAATCATTCTCAAATATGAATGTATTACAGGAGCAGAGTGGTCCACTTTGATGTTTGGAGTTTGGGAGAAATTAAAACCATCTCCAATAGAGATATTTACATCAGTTTTATATCAGTAAAAAGTAAAAAGTTTCAACGAATAGTTCCTATGGCGTTATGTTGGCAGCGATGTTTTCCAGTGCTGTCACATTATCTATAATAACCCACCTCAAAGTAAGGGTAATTTCAAGTATGTTTTTTTAGTTAGATTCTTATATATTTACAAATTATTCGATTTCTGTTTTCTAATGTTTACGCGAATTTCACTCATTATAATAAAACAACTTTTACGCTGCTACTTTACTATGGCGATAAAATCAGTAAAAGTTGTTTCATTATAAATTATTCAATTATCATTTTAAAAATCAGAAAAGTAAAAAAAGCATAAATTATTTAATATTTTTTATTATAATTGTGATCAATCAAAAAATGCTCATCCAACGGACTTATTCCCGAGAGATCGTCGTCAACTTCATCTTCCTCATCATCCTCGTCATCAGAAGTGTCGCTATCGTCTCCCACTTCAATTATGAACCTCTCCATCTCGCTATCAATAACTGGGCCATCGGCGTAATATTTTTCTTCCACTTTTTTCACATGCTCACATTCTTTTCTCCATTCTTCTTCGGTGATCGTTGCAAAGGCTTCTTCTGTGATTTGGACGATTTTATTTGCTTCTTGACCTATGTTTTTTTCAGCAACTCGTCTTTTTACGACACTCCATATCAGCTCTATTGGGTTTAAATCACAGTGGTAAGGTGGAAGCCTTACCACTTTATGTCCATGCGCTTCCAACATTATATCGGCTTCATAAACGGGCGGCTGTTTGTGCTCTTTTATTATTTGAAATAGCTGGGCTTTTACCATAGTTGGCAAGTAAGAAAGACCATTACTTGATATCCAATTTTGCATTTCTGCCTTTCTGCTTGACATTGTTGGTGCTTTGTTAAGTTGTACTGTGTGGTAGGAGGCGTTATCCATCACCACAATTGATTGGGGAGGCAGATTTGGTATAAGCTTTTCACTAAGCCACTTATTAAAATTCGTTTTATTCATATCGTCGTGATAATCGGCCGCTTGTGACTGAGATCTGTAGATCAGTTGAGCATTGGGTATGAAACCCATAGCACCACCCGCGTGGACGATAATCCAACGTGGCCCTTTAGAGTCTGATGATAATACACCTTCTTCTTGTTCGCTTTGCCAACATTTTCCGGCGCAATATGTTGCGTGTATATATGTCTCGTCCAAATATACAACTGGGCGCTGGTTTCCGAGACGATTATTTCATAATTCTTCCAGGTATCGATAACGCCAGGCGACAATATCGTATATCTCCATTAGGACTTTTCTTTTGGATCTACATTTTTTAAAATAAAACCCGATATCTTTCATTATTCTCCACAAAGTGGTACGACTTCCTTTGAAACCTATCTCGCTTCGCATTTCATGCAATAACTTTGTAAGAGTAGGTAATTCCTTTTTTACGGAATAAAATTCATGTATTTTATGCCTAATAGCACACCGTTCGAAGTCATCCAGTTCGATTTTTTTAGGCCGGGGACCGCTTTTGCGTGGTGTTGAAACCTTAGTCGACGTGCTGGCAGCGACCTCACCTTCTTTGGTGATTTTAGACACGGTTTTTTCGGACACACCTAAAACAAATATTTTGATTTATTTATCTATTGTCAACGTCATACATAAACCAATAATAGTCGCAGTACACATGCTTGCGTAGATCTTACAAATAACTACCGTTTAAAAAAAATTGCGGTTAAAGTGTGGAAATTATAATTTCTCTATCTGCTACTGGTAACCCTATTTGACTGACCTGTAATGGCGGCAACACGAGCCTGAACACATCTTAAAGGAATTAATGGTGCATTATTACGTTTTTCACGTTCACAAAAGTTCTTCACCTTTAACACCATCATTCTTTCACCACTTTTTAATGTTTTGGGCATAATTTCAGTCGAAAATCAAATGAAAATAAACAAAATCTGCGGGAGCGTCTTCTCGTGCCAAAGACTTTGACAGAGAGGGAGGCCAACATAACGCCATAGGTACTATTCGTTGAAACGAACTATATAATTTTACATGAAGAATGTCAACTAACTTTTTCTTCTTTTTTAAACGGGCGAAACGAAATAAAAACATATAAAAACTATTTTAGTGTTTTGCCACAGATGTACTGATTGGCCAATATGAACCAAAGAATACAAATTAAATTAACATAAAGTTGTATTTTATGATGCTAGGTTAATGAATTCCATTGATTGATTTGATATGACTTTATTACTTTAGACTCAAAGACGTGACTCGACATTACATTAAGATGATTAAGACCAGAGACCTAGATAAGGCATAGACAATAGTTATAGTGCTACAAGGATCTTTTGGCACTTACATGACAGTGACATGAGGGCGTTGGTGTGAAATTAGGGTTACAAGCTAATAAAATCTACTTAGTTTTAGGGAATTCTTTTAAAAACTCTATCTTTATATTCCGTAATTCAATTTAACTTAGGAAATGAAAAAAATAAAATTAAATATGAATGAAATTTAATTACTTAATATACAAATTATTTAATTAATATAAATAAATAAAACATTAATTTTTTTTGCTGTAACTATGTTCTGCATGAACTATGTCAAGAGGTTGCATACTACTAAAGCTTTCCTCATCTTCATCGTGAGAATCATCATCGTCAGTCGTCACTGCTTTCTCACTCAGCTTTTTCACTCTCAGAGCATAATTGTATGAAGAAAGGTTCGTCCAAATATCCATCTTTTTTTTGATACTCTTTTTCTATTTTCTTGACATGGGCGCAATGATTGCGCCATTCATCGACAAGAATGGAATCAAAAGCATTCTGTACCATTTCTGGCATTTGATGAATTTGGCATTGATGGATGGCTTTCCAATATTTATCTCGGCTACTTTTCGTTTCATGGATGCCCAGACCATTTCAATGGGATTAAGATCACAATGGTAGGTAAGGTGGTAATCGCAATATTTGAGAAAAAAAAGAAGCAAAATTAAATAGTTTACTCACCCATACTTAAAATATTGTTTTAAAAAATAGCATAATAAGAAGACACTTTATTAGTGCCTCAACGGGTCTAGTAGAGCATTCAAGCTATAATTACCTTGTGACCCAGTCCTGTTAAAATAGCATCGACAGAATACACTGGTTCGGGTTTTGTTTTTATTTACAATTTCTAATAGTTGTGGTCTAGTATATTCTTCTGAATATTCAAAATTATTTATTCTTAACCACTCAATTATTTCATTTTTTCTTGTGCTTGTGTTTGGGTGTTTATTAATTTGTGTGTTATGATATGGAGCATTGTCCATTATAATTAGACTGGGCTCCATCAAATTGGGAGCCAACTTTTCTAAAACCCATTTATAAAAAATTGTGTTATTCATGTCTCCATGGTAATCACCACTCTTTGTTTGTGATTTAAAAACCAAACAAGCATTGTTCACAAAGCCTTGATTACCTCCGGCATGAACAATAATAAATCTTTGTCCTTTAGAGATGGGCTCTAATACTCCATCTGAAATTGAATTTTTGAACTATAAAACAACTATAATACAAGCAGAGTAGAGTCTTACAATAAATATTAATAATAGATAAATACATATGAAATTAGTCAAAAAAGATTTAAAAATATATTACTCATTAATATTTCAAGACATTTAATTAATTAGCCAATACCTTCATCATCATTCTGCCAACATTTTCCAGCTGTATGACCGGTGTGAATATATGTCTAATCTAAGTAAATAACAGGAAGTTTTTCTGTCTCATCATTATACTTTAAAGTCTGAAATAAAATAATTCAACGGTTTGTGAATTGGTGTGGCAGTTTCATAAATGTTTCCATTTGTCCTTATTAACTTTTTTAATAATATTAAAGACTATAAAAGTACATGTACCCATACCTGCAGATAACGAGCGCGCCAAGCAGTTATATCGTTACGTTCTATCAGGACTTTTCTGTTGCTTTTACTTTTTCTAAATCGAAAACCAATCATTTTTATATGTTGTCTGAGAATTTCTCGACTGCCTGTGAATCCTATCTCTTCTTTAAGTACATGTAATAACTTATGCACTGTTGGTATTTCTTATTTCCAAGCATAAAATTCATGTATCTTTCGTCTAAGAATACCAATATCGAAATTGTCCATTACAATTTTATCCTTTCTCGTTTTTCTACTTCTCCCTGGTGTAACTATTTTACTGGATGATGCTTCAGCCAATCTGCCTTCATTTTCAATTCTTACAACTGTTCGTAAAGATGTACCTGAAATCGTATTTTTTTTTTTAAATTTGAAGGACAAAATATGTTTCCTAAGGATACAAAATATGAATTAGTATTCTTGGTAATAAGTAATAACGGGCACACTTACGAGGTATATTATGATAACACTTACCTGTTGCAGCTGCGACGCGCTCATTTACTCTTTCAAATGGAATATTCGGAGCGCCAGATTGCTTTTCTTTCATAAAAAAATCCTTTATTTTTAGCACCACCTCTCCAAAGTCCATTATCTGTTTTGGAGTTGGCCATGTGTTCTCCAATACGTGTTTATACATAATTGAGTCTTTGTCCATTTTTGATATATCAACGTACCATTTCTTTGTTTCGTTAAATTTATTTTCCAATACTATATAAGCTAGATCACTTCCCAATGCTTCAGCGTACGAAGTATCAATCATTTTTTCTAGGGTGACTTGTCTATTTACAGCTCGAAGTCCATCTAGATATTTGAGATTTGGATGTCCCCAATGTCTGAATGACCCGTAAGCTGTAAGAACTAAATCTGGAGTCTCTAGATTATTAATAGAGTTAGCTAGAGTCGCAACACCTCTTAGTTCCTTACCTGTGTCTTCTATAGATTGAAGGATGTGCAATTTATAATTAGGGAAGTCGGGGATCTGTTTTCGATATTCATGAGCTAATTCGGATAATTTTAGAGATGATATTGGCTCTACCAATTTGATAGCTTTATATGCTTTGTTGCCGTGAATGGCTAAAATCTTATCTCCTGAATTATACATCTTTTGAATTCTCTTCCAATCATTTGATCTGAATTTGTCATCTACTATGTTAACCATAGAAAAAAGAGTCTGGAATCTCGCAACAAACACGTCTTTAAACATTAATGTGGTATTTCTATCTATTAATATTCCCTCATTTATAAACAAGCAGAATCCAGATACGATCAAAACTTTCCCAAAGTTATCAGATGAATAAACGATTGCGTCTTGTGAATCAGCAGACAACATTCTCACGCCTTTAATCTTCGTAAGTTCTACACGTTCTAATGAATTTACTGAATTTAAGATTAGTGTGATTATGTGAAAATCTAAGAAATAAGCTCCCCATTTCATTATATCGTTATGACATTTTGATTTATCCAAATTTGTAATATATTTGTCAATCCAACCTTTAACAAAACTTTGAAGTATTGGGAATGTTTCATCTAAATCATTTTGAACCAGCTCTAATAGTTCTTTAAATCTTTCAACATGACACTCTGATGACATACATTTTCTTCCTGGCCATTTATGTATTTGGCTTGAGTCATGTAATTTTTTTGGATTCATTTTTCTAGAATGTGTGATACATCCGGATGTTCATAATCTCTGTCTGTTTCCAAAGATATCTCTTCTATCTCCCGTAAACATTCTTTACATGCAATATGATTGTGGAAATATCCAGATCTTGGATCCCCTTCCATAATCTCAGCTATAGTAGTTTGTGCATATAATAATAAAGATTGATGCATAAAGTCATAATTGATAGAATTCAGAGTAGATAATGTGTCTGTGGTCTCTCCTTTGGCATATTTTGAGATATTTATAATGAAATAAAAGCACGACAAACTTATCAACTCCAGCTATCTGTCAAAAGTGACGCTTTACAAGATCCGCCATCTTGTCTGTTAGTTCCGATTTCGGCCACGCGCCAAAAGATCCTTGTAGCACTGTACAATCATAGAGTTCTTAAAATAGACATAATATAATAGATTATAGATGTTAAATTAATAAAATGATGCACAACTTCAATCAACTATTTATTATAAAGTTTTCATTTCTCACACAGTATTTTAATGTTTTAACAACTTATACTTAAACTTTTTTACTTTTTATTATTGCCACGGAACATGATGCCGCTTTTCTATTTCTTACTTGTAACAATTAGACACAGATTAAAAAAACATTATTTTATAAGATACAACTACAGATTATAAAACCGAACTAATTGTGGTTGACAGCAATGCAACACAAAATCATTATTTCAACACACCTCCTTGATTTTGTATCCTTATACAAGTTTACACTTACATACTAACATTTTATATTAACAGTTTACATTACATACTACATAATTGCTGTAGCCCATTTTCTAGACTCTGGTCCTTTAACAGCTTTCTCATAAGTACATGGTACTGAAGCATCACTATAATTTACATAAACAACATGATCAAATAAAAACATAATTACTAATTATTGCAATGGATTGTTATTTAAATACATAATACCATATTTGGCGACAAGGATAAAGGAAAAATGTGTCCCTCAAAAATTTACATTCGAAGAATTGAATAACCCTGATGATTGGGAGTATTATATTCAACGATTTAAAATCGAACTCTTAGCTTCATGGACACTAGGTAAAATGAAGAAAAACGAAAACGATTATTATTATCTCGGATTGGTCAAAAAGTTTTTAAGGTACTTGTAGATCATTTCCGACCAGCATCGGTAACAGATAAACATTTCGACGAACTTGTTATGTCTGGCCTCCACTAGGGCGCTGAGTCGAGGCGAATCGAACCGCAGAAATTCGCCTCCTATATATTTACTATGAAACTGCGTCAATTAGCGACGAGTCGCGGTGCGCCGAATCTAAGCCTGCGCGCGCATTGCTCGTCAGGCGAATTTCTTCGTCGACGCGTTTCAACTAGATTCGTTGCTTGCTTAATATTGCGCTTGCGGCGTCACGTCAGTTCAAAATGGCCGGCACATACATTACAAGTATTCCGAAACTCAAGGGTCGAGAGAATTGTGATGAGTGGGCTTTTGCCGCCAAGAATTTTCTCTAACTGGAAGGAATAGACATAAAAATAGAAAGAACAGATGTGGATGCCGAAGCTCTAAAAGCAAAAGCAAAATTAATTATGACTAAAGATTCCTCATTGTATGTGCATGTAAAAAATGAAAAATCCGCTTAGGATGTGTGGAATCGTTTGAAAGCACTTTTCGACTATTCAGGTTTTCAAAGGAAAATCAGTTTGCACGTCATTTAAATTCAATTCGGCTTGATGAAAGTGAGACAATGACCGATTATAAAACACAGATTGTGGATACAGCATAGAAATTGCGAGGGATGGGGTTTCAGATCGACGAAGTTCGGGTGCCTTTGGTTGGCAGGATTACCCGATAAATTTTCGCCAATGATCATGGCTATAGAACATTCTGGAATTAGCGTCAGTACTGACGTCATCAAAGCAAAATTGTTAGATATGAGTGCAAAGGTTGGCAGTACCGGAATGAACAGTGCGTTTTCTCGAGTTGGCAACGGCGCGGGAATAACAAGAAAGTTGATAGCAGTGTAGAAATGTTAAAGTCAAAAACTTCAACTTTGAAACCTTTCAAATCAATTCGTTGTTATAAATGCAAACAAATTGGACACTACAAAAACCAGTGCGAGTCTATAAAAGATAAGGAAAGTGCGGTATTTAGTGCTTTTTTTTAGAATCTACTTACAACAAAGATGACTGATATATCGATTCAGGAGCCGGCGCTCATATGGTTACTGACAAAGAATGTTTGTTTGATGTATGTGACGATCCAGTTGTAAAAAACATAGTACATAGTTGCAAATAAAATGACAGTACTAGTATTATGCTCAGGAAAAACGCAGGTACGAACAATAGTGGATGGTTCAGAATTCAAAATTACAATAAAGAATGCTTTGTGTATTCCTTACTTGACTACCAATCTACTGTCAGTTAGTGAGTTGATCCATAATGGAAATACAGTTACATTTGAAGAAAATGGTTACAGAATACACAATCAGAACAATGTACTTGTTGCAGTAGCACATCTATTGCACGGGGTGTACAAGTTAGATATAAAGAAAGATTGTTTGTGGGTGCAGCATTCGTAACAACCAGTCATTTATGGCATCGACGATTAGGCCATATCAATAGTAAGGATCTAACCAGTATGAAAAATGGTGCTGTAGAGAGTGTTTCTTTCTCCGACAAGGCTGAATTGACAAGTTCTAGTCTGTCACGTGCTGCGAGGGGAAGCTATTCAGATTACTTTTTTCACACAGGATCCAGGTGTAAGAGTGTGTTGGAGGTAGTTCATGCGGATTTTGTGGTCCCATGGAGAGAGTCTCTATAGGACTATCTAAGTATTTCCTCCTATTTGTTGACGACTATAACAGAATGTGGCCTTTGTATACTTTCTTAAGACAAAAAATTAAGTGTTAAAGCAATTTAAAGAGTTTAAAGTTTTAGTTATAAAACAGACAGACAAAAGTATTATCACCAGCAGGGATGTTGTTATCATGGAGCAGAGAATTGACTTAGACATGATCATAATACGAGCAGAGGTGGAAGAGAAGGAAGAGAAATCTTTAGAAGAATCTACAACAGATCACTCATATTTGCCAGATGATACTGAAAGTAGCCATAGCTCGAGCTTAAACGAGTTTTGGGACAGTGTGCACGAGGATGCAGAAGTTCTCGAAGTCAATGAGCATGACATTGTGTCTAAGAAGCGTGCTAGAAGACAACCAGAAAGGTTTGGGTACAGTAATTTCAGTATGAGTAACAATGTGGATGCGTGTGACGATGATAATCTAACTTATGAAGATGTGATGAACGGCACAGAACGAGAAGCCTGGTGTAAGGCTGTGGACGAAGAGCTTCAATCTTTCAGTGACATAGTGCCTGGGAATTAGTGAATAGACCTAGTGATAGTAAAGTAGTGCAGTGTAGATGGGTGTACAAAAAGAAATTAAATTGTAATAACACAGTGCCATATAGGGCGAGACTAGTGGCCAAGGGCTTTACACAAAGAGAAGGTATTGACTATACACAGACTTTTTCACCAGTTCTTAAATATTCTACTTTAAAGTTATTATTTGCTATTAGTGTTAACTTAGGCTTGAATATAACTCACCTAGGTGTAACTACAGACTTTTAAAATGGCTATCTGGCAGAAAATGTGTATATGCAATTACCTCAGAATTTTAAATGTGAAAGCACTGTAGGTAAAGTGTTAAAACTAAATAGGGCTATTTATAGGCTAAAATAGAGCGAAGCGAGCCTCTTAAACTGCATATTTTTTTCGTTAATGATATTGAAAATAGGGCGCAATTTAGTGAATTCATCATTTGTATCCAAGTCAGCATTGTCACATAAATTGATATTTCCCTTATAAACTCGAATTTGTTACGACTCACAAGTAGTAGGAATACCAGAGTTCTGGCCCTCTTGGGTGGAAGTTTTTAAATAAATATCCTTTTTTATTAATTAGTTTTATTTTAATTTTAAGTTTTACAAAAAGGACGACGTGGTTTTACATTTCACACGAGACAAGAGAGAGAGAGCAATATCAAATTTTTAACAGATTAAAATAACTATAGTGTACATATATTATGTCACAGACAATATAATACCAACACCTTCTCCTATTTTTAAATTTTTTTTTTTATTTATTTATTTTAATTTAACACACAAAAAAAAACTTAAAAATAATAATTGTTACAAACTTAAAACAATTTCTCTGTGTATTTTATTTGTTTTTTAACTTATACAAATTACTGTTTAAATATATACATTTGTTTTTAATTTATACAATTTTATCAATTATCCATTATTTTGTTACAACAATTTTCAAATTTATGTTTTAATAAAGGTTTTGTCAGCATGTCTGCTAACTGATTTTCTGTAGGACAATATATTACTTTAATATTACCACTTATATAATTTTCATGAATGAAATAAAATCTAACATCAAAGTGTTTCGATCGTTTGTTAAATGATCCAGTTTTAATTAGTTGAATTGAACTCTGGTTATCTATATTTAGAATAATCTCAACATTAAATGTTAATAACTCATTAAGTAATGATTTTATGAATAAAGTTTCTTTGCAACAATCAGCGGCTGCAATATACTCTGCTTCAGTTGAAGACAAAGCAACAATTGGTTGTCTCTTTGAACACCAATATATAGGTCCACCAGAATATGATGAATAAAGATCTTTTTAATTGAATTAATATCCTCTTTAGATGTATTCTCTATTTTCCTACTAGCCTCATTGACTGCATGTGCAATGTCAGGTCTGGTACGAGTTGACAGATACAATAGACCACCTACTAATTCTCTATATGGAAAGTTAGTTACAATACAATTTCTATCAGATATGGTTTTATTTGTGTTACATGGTGTATTCACACTTTTACAGTTTGACATGTTAAATTTATCTAATAAGTATTCAATATAATTTTCTTGTTTTAATAATATACCTTTTTCATTTTTAACTATTTCTATGCCAACAAATATATTTGGAAATTTATTAATTTTAATTTCAAAGTCTTTTTCTAAGCATTTTAATATATCTAATAATTTTGATTTATCTTTACATATAGCTAATCCATCATCTACATAAATTGCAATAATTACAGTTTTATCATTATTAGTGAAAACACATTTATCTGTTTTAATAGGTTTTAGATTTAATTTTAACATACTTTCAGTAAAGGTTTTATTCCAGGTTACTGGTGCCTGTTTTAAACCGTATAATGCCTTTTTTAACAAACATATTTTATTTTTACTGTCATAATTAAAACCTTCTGGAATATTCATATATACCTCATTATTAATTTCTCCATATAAGAATGCTGTCTTAACATCAAATGTAATAATCTCATAATCTTGTGAAGCAGCTAATGCAAATAGGGTTTTAAGAGTTGATTGACTTACCACAGGACTATAAATTTCAGTGTAATCTATACCTTTTTGCTCGAATCCACGAACCACCAATCTCGCCTTGTAAGTTCCATCTTCTTTGACTCGGAACACCCACCTGTTTGACAATATTTCCTTGCCTTCTGCTTCCTGTCGATCCACAATATCCCAAGTATGATTTTTCTCTAATGATTCCTTTTCAGATGTTACTGCCTCTATCCATTTATCCCTGTCAGGCCCTGAAAGATATTCTGAAAAACTAAGTAAGACATAATCATTAAATTTCTTTGGTTTCTTAATCTCTCTTTTACTTCTAGTCATATTTTTGAAATCATCACCCATTATGTTTTTATTTTCATTAATTGTTTTATTTTTAATTTTATCTGTAGTGTTATGGCTGCCGCCTTCTCCTAAGCTGTTATTTATGTCATCATCAGTGTTAATTAACTCCTCTACTGGGTTTATATGGGTACTGCCTTCTCCTAAGTTTTTATTTTTATCATTATTTTTCAGGTGATTTATTTCTTTTTCTTCATTTAAAATTGTATCTTCATCTTTTTCTTCAGGTAAGTCAATTAAATGATCAAATAAATTTTCAGGTATTAATGTTTTTAAATTCATCTTTTGCTCCTTTGTTTGTAAAGTTTTATTATTAATTACCGTTACATCTCTTGATATTTCTAAAGTTTTAGTAAAATCATTCCATAGTCTATAACCATTAGGTGTATAGCCAATCATTATCATCTTGTCACTCCTTTCTTCCAGTTTATAAAGATTTCCCAGTCTCTTTGCATATACTTCAGCTCCAAACATTATTAAATTTGACAAGTTTGGTCTTCTACCTGTCCACATTTCATATGGAGTTTTATTTGTTGTTTCAGTTGGTGTTCTGTTAAGCAGGTAAGCACTTGTTCTAATGGCTTCTCCCCATAATATTTTTTCTGAATTATTTTGAAATAACAATGCTCTGGTTTTGTCAAGTAATGTTCGATTTAATCTTTCAGCTTTCCCGTTAAGCTGAGGTGAGTATGGTACTGTATAATCTAATTTTATTCCTTTTGTTTTACAATATTTCTTGAAATAGTTATTTTTATACTCTCCTCCATTATCACATCTTATTATACTAATCAGCATTTTATTTTCTCTTTCAGATTCTTCTATGTATTCCTGCAGACACTCGGAGACTTCAGATTTATACTTCAACAGATAAGTTTTAATGAAATGCGTGTAATCGTCTAAAATGGTAAGTACATACTTCATACCATCATATGTTTCTTCAAATGGTCCACAAACATCACTATGTATTATTTCTAATTTTCTAGTAGCTCTTTTTCTTTCAGTATTAAATGGCTTTCTTACTTGTTTTGATTTTATGCAAACTTCACATTGCGACATGAGCTCGACATCTTTTTCTGTTATTTTCAGACCGTCAGCAAGTTTCAGTAACTTTGAGAGAACATTTTTACTTGGATGACCCATTTTAATATGCCAATCCATTGCAGTTTCATTGTTATTCGAGTAAAATGCAATATTGTTTTTATATATATTATTCAATACATCAACACTATAAAGGCCAGTTTTGTTTTTATTTCCAGTTAGTACAACTTCATTGTCTTTTAATATTTTTACTGAATTTTTATTAAATATTACAGATCCTCCATTGTTTGTGATACATGATACTGATAATAAGTTTTGGGTAAGTTCAGGAACATAAAAAGTATTTTGTAATGAACAATTTGTACCTTGTACTTTTCCATAGCCTGGTGACTTCATAGTTTCATTATATTTAGCAACACATATTTCTGTATAATCTTCTTGATAGTCGTTTATTAAATTTATGTTATTTACCATATGAGAGCTAGAACCTGAATCTTCTATGAACATATTTTCATCTTGAATTTTATTTGTCACAAAAGCAACATTTCGCTTATTTGATGTTTTATTTCTGAAGTAGCAGTTTTTCTCCTCGTGGTTATATTTTTTACAGATTGAACATTGTTTACTGTTACAGTTTTTTGCATAATGACCAATTTTATTGCACTTGTTACAGGTTACTTTATTTGACTTTACATTTTTCATAGATTTAAAGGCAAAGGGTTTTTCTTCATGTTTTTTGGATATTCTATTTTCTTCAGATAACAGTCGGTTAGTTAAATTTTCTAAAGTTTTTTTCGAGTCTTCAGTTGAATCCCATGCGGTAATAAAATTTTCGTACTCGGATGGTAAGCATGATAGAATTTTTGAGATTAACATTTCATTTGTTATATTTTGACCAAGCCCTTTGAGTCTAAAGGTTAAGTTTTCAATTTCGCATAATAATTGCGATATGTTATGTTTTCTGCTTGTTTTAAATGTGAAAAATTCTTGTAGTAATTCAGAAGCACGTCTTGATTCTTCTCCGTCAAACATTTTGCATAATTTAGTGTACATTTCTTTTGCTGTGTTACACGACATTAATTGCGGCTTATATTTCTTGTTAATGCTCATTAAGATTGCACGTTGTGCTTTTGCATCTTTTATTTGAAAGTTCTCATCGGTTGAACTTTTTACGCCTTCAATTACTTGGCTGAGATTATTAGCTTTGAAATAAATGTTTATTTCATACTTCCAAAGCTGATATCCTTCCGTACCATTTAAAGGTTCAATTTTAATTTCATCCATTTTATTTTTTTATTAGTATTAGAAATTAAAACCTTTTTAATTATTGTTGCGTCCTTTCTGCTTTCCTTGTTGTTCTGGGTGTCCTGGGCCCATAACCTCTTGGGTGGAAGTTTTTAAATAAATATCCTTTTTTATTAATTAGTTTTATTTTAATTTTAAGTTTTACAAAAAGGACGACGTGGTTTTACATTTCACACGAGACAAAAGAGAGAGAGCAATATCAAATTTTTAACAGATTAAAATAACTATAGTGTACATATATTATGTCACAGACAATATAATACCAACAGGCCCAACCTTGGTCTAAAAAAAAGGTTCGTTTGTCCACAATTCCAGGTCTATCCTACTAGTCCTAGTATTCTACGAAAGCTTTCAATTCTTCTTATGGTCTTACTTCTATCTATTATTCTTCTCGCATTATCCAAATACTCATTAAGTGCCATTACTTAATTACTCTTTTTATCCCAAATGCTTACTCTTGTCTCATTATCCCAAACACTCAATAAGTATCATAACTTAATCATTGCCACCATCCCTGCCATCTGCTTGCTCCCTAAAACAGTTGCTCTCTTAAAAAAACTACACTTTACTAGGATTTCTTTATTACAATATCAATTAAAATAGTATTTAAACTTATCACACAACAACAAATTATTCGCTATGGTATCACTCTCTTTAAAACATGTGTAAAATCAAACATTCTTTTAGTATTGAATTTGTAATACAGATACACTAAGCAGTACTCGCCACATGCTTCAGTCCAATCATTTTGTAACCTTTAATTATTAAAGTTCCATAGTCGACAGTTTCTGTTCAAAAATGTTTTGTGAAACCCGGTTGGTGATCTGCCAAAGGAATCAAAGTACTGTCCAACTTTATTATTATCGATGTGTATGGCTACCCAGTGGGACACTGGTTGTGGATCAACATCCAAATTGCTTACTTAATACACAGCTTTTATATGAATAGGTAACTTATTTGCTGCATATACATTGTTTTAAAGATGGAGACATTCCTGTATCTCTAGTGTATTCATATTTTCTGTTGTGGTGTCAAACCTAAAGTTGTGTTACTACGACTACGTCAAGAATACTCATGCGAATGTTCAACTAGTTATTAGGCTTATGACTTATATTATAAAGTAGGTTTCAATAAATACAACACTTGGTTTATTGATGATTTATTTCTTAGACGTAAATATATTTTATTTAACCCTTAAGGTCTTTTTTTCGAAATTTTATCGTAATAAGACATCAAAATAATACCTGATTATGATTATTAGACCTAAAATAAGGGTAGGAAAAATGGAATAAAAAAACTAATTCGCTGATAATCTGAGATATTTAGTGTATATTATCCTAGTAATGCCCGAATTATTTTTTTTTAATTTTTATTGTTTTTTTTTTACTTGTAAGGGGATACATAAATGATAAAAAAAATATTTTAGAAATATATTCAAATTACAAAAAAAATGTGTGTCCATATTAACACGCTAAGCATTAACAATATCAAAAAATACAACTTATTGGTGAAAATTTAATTAGCATAACATCGAATTTTAGACAGAAAATAATCATAATGGTAATTTAATACTACTTCATTTGGTATAGTATGCTGCAAAGCATGAAACACATAATCCCATATTACATTTCATCTATTCTGTTCTACCAGCAGACGATTTGGCTTTGCAGTAAGGTCCCACCCATCTTCTTTTTTTTCTGTCTTTTGAGTATAGTGATCCATTCTGTCAAATCGGTAGGTGTCGGTCAGTGAAGAGGTGGAAGCAGTCTTCCTGGGCCTTTTGCAGGTGTTTTGTATTTATTGAAATAACACAGGACAATTTCCCGGCGGAAGGCAAGTTGATATTTCGTCATAAGAAAAGCTTCAAGTTTTACTTATATATCCTATTGAAGTATTTATTTTCAGTACTGTGATAATGAAAGTGTGTATGTAATTATGTTATAATGATATGTGTATAGGTATTTGAAATAATGAATATGGCAAACAAGTAAACAAAGCAACGGTCACCACCTGAATACAAAACCAAATTTAGTTCATATTAGCTGTCATAAAAAATCACAAACCATTCTAAAACCAATTTCAGCTATGGGCATTCCAGTTGCTGCCCGAAGACTCATAATATAAAGAACCCGGTTCTCTAAATCGGTTAGGCATATTTTAAGAGCAGGCCCACCACCTGTACCACGCACCGATCTTTGAATTTTCGCCCACTTCCCTTTGGTATTGTTTTTTAAATCACTCCATACCTTAGGCAATGCAAATAAAATGTATATGAACAAAAAAATGTGAATAACCATGCAGTGAAACTTTATAATTGAAGTGCTTTTGACATGCAATAAAATCTTTAGAAAAAATAACGAACTAGAACTAACGTTTCGCCGCTTTTCTTCATTGCGACATCCACTGATTCCCTGGCTGTTAAGTAGTTCGGCTAATTATTTCCACTTTTTTAAACAATACTGACGCCCCTGCGGCAAACTCTGAGGTTTAGATAAATCTCCATTGCTTAAAGAAATAAATATACTAATAAGAATATATATTTAAGAATAAATAAAATTATAAAAAGCTCTTGTTTTTAATTTAGTGAGGACTTTTCCATGAATTCCACCATCATTAAAGACTGTATGTGGCTAGTTCTTGACGACATCATTAATTAAATTATAAATAGTTGAATAAAATCGAAAACAAAATACAAATACAATTTTTTAAACAACGAGCAAAGCAACAAGTGAAACGACGCGACGCTTACTCTTAAATGGTAGAACTTAAATGGCGCGTTCGGAAATCTAAAAAACATGGAACATTTTTTTAGTTTAGTGTATAGTATACTATACAAATCAACCTTAAGGATTAACATCCAAACAAAACTTTAACTACTATAATCTACGATCACATTGCGGTTTTTATCTGTTTCAATAACACTATCGAACTCTGCGTAAACAATAAAGTTGATTGTCTGAGTAAGAGTAGATTCAAAGGAACTTCCAACCTTACACTACCATTCATTATTAGATTCCAATGACTCGATGAGTTAGCTGATAAGTCAGGAGTTAAATCAAAAGCTAGAAGACAATTACCTTGCTATACATTTCCCTAGATATTCCGTTTCCTTGGTTTAAAAAAATAATTCCTGTTCCTGAGACTAGTGTATGATAGGACGTGGTGAATATGTTACTCTCAAATGAGGGTTGCAGTGTTTTAGAAAGTACTTGTTGTCCATAAATGTACAAACAAAATGAACTCATCATAATTTTTAGTAAGACTACCACTGTATGCCGCGTTATTCACAAACACAATGATATATCTTTTAGTTATTTGTCCCAGAAATATATTATCTATTGTTTACCCCTGAACCCCTGACGGTATCGTTCAAACTTTTACTTCTGTTCGATGTGCGAGTAAAGCAGTTGGATTAATTCGAGCTCTACGGACAATCAGAGTTGCATCTGCATACTTTTAGCTTTAAATCATTCGAAGCAGTCAATAAATGTTGAATTTTTTTTTGACCTTTGCATGAACAGATAACTATGTTTAGCAATGATAAGAGTATACAATAATTTCTATGCTATTCTTGGTATGAAGCAATATTTAATAACAATTACCAATAGGATAACTTGCTTGATAGCAATTATCAGAAGGGTATCTTGTTTGACAACAATTACTATAACGCAGGTAAAAGAAAAGTCGAATTTTAGATCTAGTCGGCTCGCGGCTCGTGATGAGTACAAAGTAAAAGTGGCGCGCTCTCGCGAAAACTAACGTAATCGGTTCCCCCCCTGCGCCCGCGTCCCCTTAGCATCCATATCGTTCACACTCATTACAAACCGTTTACCATAACTTTAATAACATTTTTATACTTACTAAAAAACATAACAAAATAAAATATACAAATATAATATTTTTTTTTATAATGCGTCGCTTACAATATCTCCACCCCAGTGCTACATCAGCACTCAACATCCATAGGTACTTTAGCGACGCGTGCTGCCGAACGTTGTAGCAAGCTGGTTTTGGTTTTTACTTCAACCACTCGTACCCGGCCATCCTTTCCGGGGATTACTCTTTGTATGATGCCCTTGGGCCAGGTATTTCTAGGGCTTTCGGGGTCAGCGATTAATACTAAGTCCCCGACTCTTAATGGTTCTGTGTCGCGGTTCCACTTCTGCCTGGGCAGCATAGTAGGTAGCACTTCTCTCACCCAGCGCCTCCAAAACATGTCAGCTAACCTCTGTGTTAGTCTCCACTGTTTTCGTAAATATAAGTCGGAATCATCAAAGACACCTACAATAGGTAGATTGGATGATGAACCTAACAAAAAATGATTAGGGGTTATTGTTTCATTACTATTGGGCTCAACCGTCACATGTGTAAGGGGTCGACTGTTAACTATTTGCTCAACCTCAGTCATTAACGTTATTAAGGTTTCTTCACGCGGCGCCCTTTCTCTTAAGACAACTTTTAATGAGTCTTTTACAGAACGAATGAGGCGCTCCCAAGCTCCACCCCAGTGAGGACTAGCTGGAGGAATGAAGGTCCATGTAGTTCCATAGTTGACGGCCTCAGCTTTTAATATATGTTCATCCAAGTCGAGCGTTGCCTTTTTCAGCTCGTTATCGGCACCTCTTAAATTCGTACCGTTATCTGAGTAAATAAATTGAGGCCAGCCTCGACGAGCAGCCATGCGTCTGAGGGCCATGATCAAGGAGTCCGTGGTCAACGAAGGTACTAGTTCTATATGAATAGCTCTTACGGTAAGGCATGTAAATAATACACCATATCTTTTCTCTCTGCGTCTTATTACAGTAATTTCCATTGGTCCAAATAGGTCTATACCACAATGTGTGAAAGGGCGACATCTGGACGCCATTCTGGCCGCAGGTAAATCACCCATTCTGGGTGGGCACGGTTGTGCTTTTCTTATTCTACAAAACATACACTGTGAAGCCACTCTTCTTACTGTCGGTCTTAATTTTAATATCCAATATTTCTGTTTCAGTTCATTAACAACAGCTTCATTGTGACCGTGCGCCGCTCTCACGTGGTAATATCGTGCAATAAGCCGGGCAACGTGATGACGTCCATCTAATATAACAGGTTGTTTCAGATGCAGAGGAACCTCGGTAGCTGCATTTATACGGCCTCCCACGCATAGGATTCCGTGCTCATTCAGAAAAGGGGATAAGGTAAGTAATCTACTTTTTTTATCTATTTCTTTTTTATTTTCCAGGTTGGCTATATCCCCAGGGAAGGACTGTAGCTGAGAGTATTTTATTAGCCATCGCTCAGCAGCCGCCCTTGTGTATCCATCAACGCTAGTATCCAGTTTCTTGCATTTATTAATAAAGGTAAGTACTTTACAGGTTGAATTCAATAGATGTAACCAAGATGAAAACCTTTCAGGATCAGGAACAGCTGGTAAGGATTTATTGTATGTTTGCATGGTCATAGTATATTCGAGATCCAGATGGGGCGTCTCCGGTAGCTGTGTGTCTACTGGCCATTCAGTATCTCGATCACGAAGAAACGCCGGACCATAAAACCACTCATTCTTTAACACAGATAAATCACAAGTCTCCTTGGTGGCGATATCCGCACTATTAAGTTTCGTAGGTATGTAACGCCACTCGTTTGGTTTTGACAATTCATCTATTTCTCCTAAGCGATGAGCGACAAACGCTGTATAATTGCGCATATTGTTTCGAATCCAATGAAGTACAACACTTGAGTCACACCAAAAATATCTTTCGTAAGGTTTATGTTTAAGTTCTTTACATAAAGTATCTGCTAATCTCACAGCAAGCAACGCAGCTTGTAATTCCATGCGAGGTATTGACTGATATTTAAGCGGAGCAACTTTGCATTTACTCGCGACGAACGTAACATAATAGCGATTATTCACTGTCCAACGCCAGTAAGCTACGGCGCACATTGCTTTAGTCGAAGCGTCACAAAATATATGTAGCTGTAGGTTTGTATAACATGAAGTTATCTGCCCGTTAGACGCGCACGCGAGAGATTCGCTAATACAAGACACTGGCAACGGCGGCCGCTCGGGTGACGTATGCGTAATCGCATCGGAAGTGCAGCGTAGTTCCGTCTCGTTTACTCTTGCGGCCGTTACATAATGCCTTGGGATACGCAGCTGATTAATTTCTTTTAATAATTGTAGCCATTCAATCCATTTTTCATAAATAGTATCAGGTATTTTTTCATCCCAATCTAATTGTAATCTCCATACGTCTTGTAACATAATTTTTCCTTTGATTGTAAAAGGCGAAAGAAATCCAAATATATCGAAAATTGACATTAAAACTTTAAGCATCTGTCTCTTGCTAGGTCGCGTGTCGCCTGTTATTATATCTACAGGAATCTTCTTAAAAGAAACGTCAAAAGACAACAGATCTTCTTTCGGATACCAAATCAATCCAAGTGTACGTTCGCCCTCATTTGGCTGTTCAATTTTGAACCTTACTGCAGTCGTTCCTAAGGTCTCTTGTGGAATGCAGTTTAATACCGCTTCGTTGTTACTCGTTATGTTTCTTATCTCGAAGCCACCTTTTTTATGTATATATATAATATCTTGTATAGTTTTAATAGCCGTAGCTTCATTTTCTATACTATCTATATAGTCATCCATATAGTGTTGCTTATGAATAGCGTCCACGGCGGCCGGGTATAATGACTCATACTGCTTTGCATTGTTATTTTTTATAAATTGAGCAATAAAGGGCGAGCAATTAGCACCAAAAATTAAAGACGTCATAGTGTATATATCAATAGGGCCATTTTGTTCTTGGTTGTCCCTCCAGAGAAATCTTAAAGCATCTTGATCTTTAGGTAAAATTTTTATTCTTAAATACATATCTCGTATATCTCCGGTTATGCCTATTTTATTCTCTCGAAATCTCAACATGATGCCAAATAATGCCATAAGTAGGTCGGGACCCTTCAAGAGGTAGTCATTTAACGAAACTCCACAGGTCTTTGCAGCGGCGTCGAAAACTAGACGTAATTTCTTTTTATTAGGGTTATCGACTCCAAAGTGCGGAAGGTACCAGGTTTTCGAGGTATCTTCTTGACAGGTAAGTTTTTTAGCATAGTCGTTCTCAAGTAAGTGGTTTATTCTTTCAGTGTATCTTCTAGCATAAGCTTTATCTGTCTTCAGTCTCTTCTGTACTCCTTTTAATCTTAGCGCTGCGTTAGGGTACGAGTTTGGTAGTTTACAGTTATTATCTTTCCAGGGTAAACCGACATGCCATCTTCCATTTTTAAGTACAGATGTTTTTTCTAAATATTGTATAGCTTGAAGATCTTCTGGATTTTTCCTGGGTCTCATGCTGATGCCCATTGATTCGATTGTAAATGATATTCGTATTTGTTCTTCTAAATTTCGTAACTTATTTTCATATTCTTTATCTGAATCGTTAGTAATGAATAACGCTGAATGATGTACTCGCTTAATGGGCGGGGTCTGGTGGAGCGGGGATGGTTCGCGTAAACATCCATGAATGCATAAGCCTAACTCAGTACGTGTAACATATAATTTACTATTTTTTAATTTTATTATTTTAAGCGGTAACAATAAATCATAATTATCTTGGCCAATTAATATTTTAGGTTTACAGAGTTCATTATTTAAACAATTTTTTATGTCAGGTATAGAATGTACATAGTTAGTAAGATCAATCGACGTTGAATCATGTACAGGTAAGTTTAAGTCTTTTACACTTCTCACGCGAATAGGAAACATAGTTCCGTCTTTGTTTGACACGCTTAAGTCTACTATCTCACAAACACATTCTAATGAGTTATTGTTCCATGCACCACTCACACGCATAATTTGTTTATGTCCATTTAGTCCGAGTTTTTTTACAAGTTCATAATCTATTAACGATACGGTCGACCCGTCGTCTAGCAAAGCGGTAGCACTAATTACACCGTTTGGCCCATGAATATTGATAGGCACGGTTTTCAAAAACACTTTACAGTTAGATAAATTAATGTTCGTCACTGTTGCACTTTCTGTTATTTCCGTAATGTTTATATTACCCGGGGAACGAATATCTTTTGTTATAGGATAATGTAATAACCGATGATGCGACTGTCCACAGTTCTCGATATCACACGGCGCGGCCGGACATGTTTCTCGATCGTGACGCGATAGTAAACACTTATAACAGATGCCGTGTCGTTTAACGTGACGCCACCGATCTTTTCGTAGTGATTTTTTAAAGCGCTTGCACTCTGTTAGCTTATGTTTAGAAACACGGCAGTATAAACACTTAAAGTCATGATTGTCTGTTGTCACTAGCACCGTATTATGTACGCGGTTGAAGTTATTGCCGATGAGATGAATATTAGATGTCGTCGAGATTTTCACCGCTTCTTCTTGTAAGAAATCTGCTAAAATATCCAATCGTGACTTCTTGCCCTCGGTGATAAGCGGGAAACTATAGTCTGACCATTTTGAGAGTAGGACTGTAGGTAAGTTAGACAAAATGAGCGACACTATATTCATTCCTTGTAGATATTCATCGCGTTTGACGGATCTAATGGCTTCTATGAAGTTCTGTACTTTTACTGAGAATGAAACAATATCCTTCTGATAATCTTGTGAAATTGGGTACAGTTTTTTAATATCTTGCATAATCTTAATCACAATGCCGTCGGGGTTACCGAATCGTAGCTCTAATGTAGCCATTATTTTCTCAGGTTCCGTGGCACTGATTAAGAGGGCTGCGACAGCATCCCTGGCGGGTCCACGAAGACACTTACGTATTCTCCACAGGTTTTCTTTAGAGCTGAAATTACACACTTCCGTTGACTCTTCATATGCTTGTTTAAACTGCAGCCATTCCATAGGGTCGCCGGAGAAAGCAGGTAAGTCTCGAGGCGTGCTTAAACGGCTCAGTAATTTAGCGTTAGAAGTAGTATTGTTGGAGGAGGCGGCGAGATCCCTTAGTGCACTAGCCAGCATCTGGACTGTTCCATGTGAAGTTCCAGGGTGAACTGACCCTGGGTGATGCAGCTCGCCTAAATCATTACCATGCTCGTTGACTGGCTGCACCTTTTCCATTTCTTGCTGACTGCGTTCTAACCACCTGTTCACCGTACTATGTGAGTAATTATCTCGAGGTTCACTTTGCTCATCTTCTAAATCAGCTAAGTCGGTTGCCAACCTCTTGTCAATTAATTCCATCTGTATTTTAGCCTTAGCTTCTGCAGCTAATAATTCCAGCTTAGCTTTTCGAGCCTTTATAGAAGAAGATGTAGATTTTTTAGATTCACTTTTTTTTGATGTGGGTATTTCAACGGGCGTGTCATCTACTTTTTTACACTTTTCAGGTAACAATGCTTTATTATCTAGGTTTCTTCTTATAATTTCCTTCTTAATCAACGTATTATTTTCAGACTCTTCAGCTGTCTGCACGTTTGGCTGATAAGTTGACGGTTGGCTGGTCGACGCTTCCATATGTTTCGACATTTCGCGTTCTTTACGCACTGTACTTCGCGTGTTGACCATTGTAGATGATGGAGGTGTGGTGAACATAGATATAACAGTATAATTCGGCTCGAAGACCACTTTATAACGCAGGTAAAAGAAAAGTCGAATTTTAGATCTAGTCGGCTCGCGGCTCGTGATGAGTACAAAGTAAAAGTGGCGCGCTCTCGCGAAAACTAACGTAATCGGTTCCCCCCCTGCGCCCGCGTCCCCTTAGCATCCATATCGTTCACACTCATTACAAACCGTTTACCATAACTTTAATAACATTTTTATACTTACTAAAAAACATAACAAAATAAAATATACAAATATAATACTTTTTATAATACGTCGCTTACAAACCGTTTACCATAACTTTAATAACATTTTTATACTTACTACAAACATAGCAAAATAAAATATACAAATATAATATTTTTTTTTATAATGCGTCGCTTACAATATTTTTTTTTTTAAAGCTATCTATAAGCTAAATTATTATCTAATGTAAAAATACGGTTAAATATGATTTTATAGCAAAGCTTGCATAGTACTAAGTTAATCTATTCTTCCAAATTTATGCATTTTGGACTTCCTTTTTGCCAATTGCTAACACACCTAATCTAAGTACTTTAATACCTACAGTAGCTATTCCAGTAAATAGCATGAATCCACTTAATGATGTGAGCAATGTTGTAATGAAGGATTGATTTCCCATCAACTCATTAATTATATCTGTGGATGTCTCTGCTCGTATTGTTTTCATATCTGTTAATAAACCACGATACTCATATTCAAATGTTATGTCTATACTTTGATTTATCAAAGGTATATAAATGTTGCAATACTTATTCTTGCTTACTTGCACTATATCATACATTTCATTATTACATGATACTGATGATCTATCCCAAGTGCAATTAGATTCGAATTCCATCATGCCTTCATTTTTAAGATTTTTTGATACTAGAGTAGCTCTAGGTTGCTCAAGGCACGCTTCACATGCATACGATATTCCAACACTAATTTCACAATGAGGCTTTTCCACAATCAATTCTTTAAGCTCAACATTTCCAAATGAAATTGTCCCATGACCACTTGATCGGTATTTATAATTTATCCAACCTTTATTATACATTTGTAAATGTTGTATATTACTTGAATCAACTTTGTATGGGCTACTATCAGTTAGTCTATTTATTGCAGGCTCATTAGTGATACATTTAACCTTACAAGAATCGACACTGCAATCCAAGTTATTATCATAGTATAATATCTTATCATTATGTTTATCAATTTGTATGTCTCCTATCATACCTCTTTGTGGCATGTTATGTGGTGATGAATCAACATTGAAATATGTACCATTTATAGATATAAGTGATTCCCTTAAGTGTTGCTTCTCATATGACACTCCTGATATGTAGAATGGCATATGATCCATAATTTCACTCAATATATTATTCATATCATATTTTGGATTGTTAGTGTTCAATACAATATGGCGGACCACATCTTTGTACCTAATGGTAATACTTACTTCCCATATCTCAGAAACCAAAGAATAAACAGGTATTTTAGGACCTTTAGGGTTTATTTGCCACCTATACCATACACAAGATGTGCCATGAGTACACATTGATCCAACACAACTTACTGATGTCATATGGCATCCATATCCATGTGGCTCTTTTGTATTTCTCTCTAATATATTAAGCTTGTACCCATTTCCACATTCTTCTCCCCACCAGCATTTCCCTGAACCTAAGCAATTCCAATGCATTTCATTAATTATATCATATGAGCTAGTGTCATATAGTGAACTAAATCTTGCAATGTTGTAAATAGAGTCAAGTTTGATAGACAACTTTTCATTGTTTAAGTCATTAAAGCAGGCAGTTTCTCCATCAGCAAGAGATAAGGAATATGTTGATAAATCATAGCATTTGTCACTATAACATATCCGACCATTGCTTTTTAAATAAAGCATCTGGTCACATCCATAAGTATCATTTGGTGCCATTGTTGTGAGAGCAATCCCAGTAACTAATGCTTTGCTAACACTTGTTGTTTTTTTAATAGATCTATATTTCTTGTTGTTTTCTAAATCTTGTAAGAATCTAACTCTATCTTCAGATTGCTTAAGCATGTCATTAACTCTATTGTACTCTGCTGATCTGTTATAAATTATTTCAGAATAAATGGGATCTACATTTTTTGGTGAAATCTGTTTCATTAACTGTATGCGCCTTTCTTCTATAATCTTGTCAATAATGTCATTGTTATAGACTACTTTCTTAAGCTTGACGTCTATATTCAAACCTGTAGATTTGTTGTATCTCATAATCCTCTTAACTCTCTTCAGAGACTTAAGACACTGAAGACTTGGAAATGTTTGGATTCAGTGAATTAGAAGACATCTGTGAAGACTTAGAGTTAGTTAAACTCTGTGATGAAATTGAAGCAAAACAAAAACCTCACTTGGTTGATCCATCATATGATGATGAGTTGTATAAATTTTTGCTATGGTTAAAAAAAAATAGGTAAGAAAACAACAAAAATTGTTTTCGTAATTGATTTTATAAGATTTTTTATTTTTATTTTATGTTGTATGAATTTAACGTTACCATAATATCTCCCTTGCAGTCAACGGTCATCATCTTTGTCATCATATGAGATTCAAACTGGTTCCGGAGGACTTCGAAAAAGGAGTGCTGAAGATGGTGATAAAAGCATGAAATGAAGCTGCAAAAAATCCCGAAACAAAGAAGATACACTAACTTCTTCAATCGTAGACAAGGTACATTGTAATATATGTAATACATTTATTAATCAAAGATATTTTGCTAATCATGTTAAAAGCAATATTCACAAAAATAATATTTTAAAATGTCACAATTCTTTAAAAAATGTGTCTGTTATAGAGTCAGCTGTTGGACAACTCATTATATCTAATAAAGTCAAAAGTAATTACCAATCGGACTTAGTCTTTCTTAGATTTTTTTTTTCAGTTAAAAGTGATTTGTTTTTTTTAATCAATGAGGCCATTAAACAACATATCACTTTAACAATAAATTTTGTCTTACATGCAGACTTTGTTCAACAAACTAAAAACATCTTTAATTCATTTGATTTTCAAACTATTTCATAATTTCTCAGGCAGATGATTTAAATGTTTTTATGACATCACTTTGTGAAACATTGACAAACAAAATAAGCTCTTTTGAAATAAAGGATAGCGGATGGAGTCTGACCAAAGTTAATCACATAGAACTGGTCATAAAAAAATTTAGCCCTCTACGAGGTTCTTCCTATTTTTAATTTAACAAAGGATATCGAAGTAAAAAAAGCAATAATAAATGTACAAAACTCTAATATTTTTGTTTCAAATGGGCATTGTTATCTGCATTATATCCTGTAAACAAACATACAGAACGTCCATCATCATACAGCGCTCATTTAAATAAACTCAAATGTCATGGGTGTTAAGTGGCGAGAGAATAATAAGTCTTTTTATAAACTAATTTATTTATTAACACTAAATTAACAAGATTTTAATTTAAAGAGATTGAATTCTTAGAAATGGTATACTTATTCAAAATAAAAGTAAACTAAAAAAACAGAGTAAAGATCTTGAAAGGAGCTAGAAATAGGAATGTCTAGATTTCGGGAGTATTTATATGGGTTTGGAATAGGAGGGGATAATTAGTGGTGAGTATTACTTTATTTACATGACAAATTTGTTAAAACTAATTAAGGGCTAAAGGTTGTTAAGATAATATGATTATTTACTAATGATCTAAACACGATATGGAAGTACACAGTAAATGAGAGATTTATATAATATATGTGAGTACATGTCTAATAATAGGTATAGTTAAGTGCATACGTAACACTTCCCCTCTTAGAATAAAGATCGGGCCTTAGGTGTGCGCGATCTTGCAGTTGTAGGTGAATTTTCCTCTTCATTTTCATCTTCTGATAGTGTCCTCGTGTTGATTGTTGGTAGCGGGGTGCTCTGGTGCTGACGAGAGTTGACGAAACATTGTTAAATATTTGGATACAGCCTGCTTTGGGCTGAAGAGCTCGTTGGTTTCGATTTTGAGTCCAGAAATAATGCCATGGGCAGCATTTGTAAAGTAGATAAATAAGCATTGATGAACCCAGTGCCATAGCGGCGAAACGGAATTTAGGACTGGAGAAGTTACTATTGAAGGAGTTCTGTTGTTCCTTCAGAAGTCGTTCTTGGACTTTAATTTGTTCTTTATTAATATGTAGGGAATCTTAGGGAACGTTTTTCACCATTATAGGGTGTAATTCAGGTAGAATTGGTTATTTCCACGTTTCAGGAAGACAGGCATCTTCAATGTCCACTGTGATGATCGGGTGAGTCAGGTTCATCATCGTCTATCTTTTGCGTTGAGTGTCACAAAAGTGGTGTAAAATTTGCATCCTGAGTTCAGGGAAATTATTCCGGAGCCGAAGATTTTCTGATGTACTATTTTGTTCCCGCATTCAACTACGCTTGGTGTCTTGAATCTCAGGAGAAATATCCACTGGTTATTTCCGATGGATTGAAAGGTGTCCACATGTGTTGAGAAGGTTGACAGTTCGCAATTACTTGGCGGTTCCTTGCTGGACAATTGTAGTATCGCAATCTCGCATATTGGTCTGGCGTTGTAGTTGTATACTGGTAGGTCCTTGCAAACTCTTGTTTTTGTTGTGAACATCTTGGAACATTCCAGGAGGCTCGTTGTGACGTTAACGTTGCCGCGTAGTAGAAGTGGCAAGGTACAGTGGGTTGCCAAATTATTAGGAGCAGTCACTAAAAATTGGTATTCGTGAAGTATTAGTCTGAAATTCATTAGAAAAAAACTGTTTTAGTTATAATAAAATTTAATAACATTAAGCTAATATTTAAAAGTAATATATGAACAAAAAAATTAAAATATACAATAAATTTTACATAATTAAGCGAAATGAAATGATACTTTGTACTTATCAATACTTAGTAACATTTCCTTTTGCCTCAATGAGTGCTTCAATGTGCCTGGACATGCTTTCTATACACTGTTTGGCACTTTCTTTTATTCTGGGGTTGTGATGCCAAACATCAATTAATTTTCTATCACTTTAACCAGTTTAACCTCATAAATTTTCAATGGGTTCATGTCAGGTGAATTGCAAGGCCAAGGTAAAACGGGAATATTTTGGTCTGCCCAAAATTTGGTAACGCTTCTAACCTTGTGCAATAGTGCTGAATCGTGCATAAATGTGAATTCCTCACCATCTTATCAATCGAAAACCATTCCTTAAGTTGCAGTAATAGGCGAATTTGTAAAATTTGTCTGTACTGGTCTTGTTTTATGGTTCCTTGGACAATGTAGAGACGCCCAACCCTTCTAGCACTTATCACAGACCATACCATTATTTTAACGGGGTGTTTCGCCCTGTCCACGATGCAGTCGGGGTGGTATTTTTCATCTTAGCGTCGCCTGACAAAGCTGCTCTTGTCGGCTAGAATTTCAAATGTTGACTCATCCGAAAAACACACCTGAAAAAAAGGAAAATAGTTTATAATTTTAAAAATATGATGTAAAATACCGATAATAATGAAAACTCACTTTACTCCAGTCCTCGACAGTCTTTTGGCGGTGTTCACGAGCCCAGGCAAGAAGTTTTTTCTTCATCGCATCAATAAACCGAGGTTTTTTAATAGGACGATGACCTGTCAAACCTTCCTCTGCCAATCTTCGCTGCACAGTTCTCTTGGAAACTGGTATACCAGACTCTTGAACCAACATGAGTTAAGAGTCCAGCACTTTTCTTTCGGTTTTGCAAGCATATGTCCCGAATCTTCCTGTCTGATCGTGGTGTTGTAATGCCACATGCAATTTTCTGCCACTATTGCCTTTTCTCTTAGGTAAAAGTGGCTAATTTTGGTCCAAATTAATTTTTATTTTATTAATCGCTGACTTAGAATCTCCAGCAAGTTCTGCTATTTTTCTTTGGAAATGGCTTGTATGCTGGAGAAGAGTTTTAATCTTCGTTTTTTTTGGAGACAAATCGCATCCTCGACCCATGCTGCAAGGCAAAAATATTAAAAAAATATTAAAGATTTTAACAAAAAGTTGATTATTAATTAATTTTAACAACATAAAAATATACTTACATTTTTACTATATTTACAGCACAAAAATAAAAATAACCTTGGTTTCACTGTTTCGTGCCTTAAGTACACTGCGTTTCTCCCGATATAAATGATGAAAATATTTGTAGAACACAAATAAATTATTTAACCCTCAATATCTACTTTAAATTTGAGATACAGAAACATGTTGAATGTAAAAAATAGTTTTCTGCGACACTTACACCACTTAAACTGCAGTCAAATGCACAGAAAGAAAGGAATTAAAAAATTAATTGACTGTCCCTAATAATTTTGCAATCCACTGTATATATGCTCAGGGAATAGGGTTGAGTAATAGGAGGAATTGTAATGTTTAATGGGAATAGAGTACATGTGAAATAGATTAAATTTTTCGTTTTTAACTAAAGGGAATTCTAATATATATACTAGTTTATTGAGGTAAATAAAAGATATAGGTGTTGTAGATTCTAAAATTTTATGAATGTTTCCTAACGTTATAGGTGCGACTAAATTATTTATTCTAAGATGGTTTGTTGCTAAAAGTTCTTTATAAAATTTAATAGTCGAAATAATAGAAGGGTGAATTGCTGCTGATTTTATAAACAATATGCTTGTAATTATTTCGTCTAATTCTCTCTCTAAAGTTAGAACTAATTCGAGAATTTGAATTGAAACAGTTGATATTTCTTCAGAAACTTTCAAGTCAAAAATTATTTTAATAGTAGTATTTAAATAAGAGCTAATCGTATTCAGATTATCATTCATAGAATATTCATCGTAAGAAATTCGCGAAGTAGTGTCATTGAAATTAGAGATGGTAGAGAATATGATCTGTAGTTGTTGGGTTAATACCATGGTCTAATTGTTGCTTTTCTAGCAATTCGATTCATTGATTATAGTATTGTGCGGCTTTCGCATTGGGAGTACCTATCAACCATTTCAAAATCGTACCAAGCCTATCTATTAATTCGCGTTTGACGCGATTATGGTTATTCGTATAGTAGCTGAGTTCGTTCAATCTAGTATCTATTTTATCTAAACTGACTTTGGTGAAGGATTTCGTTGTATAAATGCTAAGGGTAATATATTTACTAGAGTTTATGACGGTTTCGTAATTGGCGATCAATCGTTTCAAGGAATCATGTGAGAGAAAAGTGGTTCTAAGTTTCTGAATATGACTAGGTTCCAGGAGCTTTCTGATATACAAAGTAGTTCGTTTATAGCCATAAGTGTACTTCCATCATTGTGGAGTACCTGGAAGGGATAAGAAATTTGACTTAGTGCTTATGCATTCTTATTGATATTTTTAAAGAATTTGTATAAAAGTATGTATAATATAAATTTGAGTATAGATAAAATTGTAATGTTCGGTGGTCAGAAGGGGTCTTCAGAAACAAACAGTAGCGTGACGTTGATAGATTATTTATCACACGACAGTTAACTATAACATTAAATTATAACTTTCTTACTTGCTATACTGTAGCTGACTCGGAGGTCCGAAGGAACTCAAGGAACTCAAAGAACTCACTAACATTATGGGTGGAGGACATTATAAACCAATACAACTGTACAACACATTTGGGAAAGTAAACAAACAGTCTCTGGACTCTACACTCATTATCAATTACTGGTAATTTGATAATTCTAAATGTTGTTTATATAACATTAAAGTACAATTGATTGAAAATATGTAAACATTACAAAATGATAAAACTAAAATAAGGGTTATTCATGTTTTAGAAAATTTATCGTTTAAAAGTTGTGGTTCGTAAGATGTGCGATTTTGTAGAACAGGGCCATCACCAAATGATGTTGTGACCTGAAAGATATTATTATTTTAATTATATATAAAAATATTTTTTTTGAATCTAAAACTATCTAATATTCATTAGAACTAGGTATCAAGTTGATTATTGCAATCTTGTAAAGGTCCTAAGCGATTGTCGTGAACTAATTGGTTTCTATCTGACTTCCTTATAATATAATTTTCGTTAAATCCTTTTCTTGAAATTTCATAAGATCTTCCCATTTACTGTCTAGATTATATGGATTTGGGACGGGGAGAATGACTTTATAGCCTAATTGAAAATCAGATATTTTTCTGATATTATTGTCATAGCGTGCTTAAGCTCATCTTATGTGGTCAAGATTTCTTTAAGCTATGTCACGAGAAATCTTAAGGCGTTCGTTAAGGTCATTGAGGTAGTCGTTTGTTGTGAATTCGCGTGAGTCATGCAGTGAAACTTTATAATTGAAGTGCTTTTGACATGCATTAAAATCTTTAGAAAAAATAACGAACTAGAACTAACGTTTCGCCGCTTTTCTTCATTGCGACATCCACTGATTCCCTGGCTGTTAAGTAGTTCGGCTAATTATTTCCACTTTTTTAAACAATACTGACGCCCCTGCGGCAAACTCTGAGGTTTAGATAAATCTCCATTGCTTAAAGAAATAAATATACTAATAAGAATATATATTTAAGAATAAATAAAATTATAAAAAGCTCTTGTTTTTAATTTAGTGAGGACTTTTCCATGAATTCCACCATCATTAAAGACTGTATGTGGCTAGTTCTTGACGACATCATTAATTAAATTATAAATAGTTGAATAAAATCGAAAACAAAATACAAATACAATTTTTTAAACAACGAGCAAAGCAACAAGTGAAACGACGCGACGCTTACTCTTAAATGGTAGAACTTAAATGGCGCGTTCGGAAATCTAAAAAACATGGAACATTTTTTTAGTTTAGTGTATAGTATACTATACAAATCAACCTTAAGGATTAACATCCAAACAAAACTTTAACTACTATAATCTACGATCACATTGCGGTTTTTATCTGTTTCAATAACACTATCGAACTCTGCGTAAACAATAAAGTTGATTGTCTGAGTAAGAGTAGATTCAAAGGAACTTCCAACCTTACACTACCATTCATTATTAGATTCCAATGACTCGATGAGTTAGCTGATAAGTCAGGAGTTAAATCAAAAGCTAGAAGACAATTACCTTGCTATACATTTCCCTAGATATTCCGTTTCCTTGGTTTAAAAAAATAATTCCTGTTCCTGAGACTAGTGTATGATAGGACGTGGTGAATATGTTACTCTCAAATGAGGGTTGCAGTGTTTTAGAAAGTACTTGTTGTCCATAAATGTACAAACAAAATGAACTCATCATAATTTTTAGTAAGACTACCACTGTATGCCGCGTTATTCACAAACACAATGATATATCTTTTAGTTATTTGTCCCAGAAATATATTATCTATTGTTTACCCCTGAACCCCTGACGGTATCGTTCAAACTTTTACTTCTGTTCGAGTAATGGAATATTTAGCTGTAGTAGAGGCTAAAACCTTTTGATGTGCGAGTAAAGCAGTTGGATTAATTCGAGCTCTACGGACAATCAGAGTTGCATCTGTAATGCATACTTTTAGCTTTAAATCATTCGAAGCAGTCAATAAATGTTGAATTTTTTTTTGACCTTTGCATGAACAGATAACTATGTTTAGCAATGATAAGAGTATACAATAATTTCTATGCTATTCTTGGCATGAAGCAATATTTAATAACAATTACCAATAGGATAACTTGCTTGATAGCAATTATCAGAAGGGTATCTTGTTTGACAACAATTACCATTAGTGTAACTAGTTTAAAGTTGAACAGAGAGATAAACTAGTCTTATATAAAGAAAACATGATGTTGGAAGCTCATATTCAAGAAAGTAGTGAACAGTGAATATTCGATATAACTTGTGTTGTAAATCCTTAAACACCGATGTCGGTAAGTATATATAATACTGATTTTTCTTATAGTCTTACTGTTCCATGGGTATTAAATTAAATATAGGGAATGTTTCTATAATTGTTTCAGAACTCATTTGAGGAAAATACTTTTAAACAATATTACTATCAACCTTTGTTCTCTGATGAAGATACTACAGAAAATGTAGTCATTGATTCTCCAAAAGAAAAATGTGAGGAACCATCTCACAAAAGAAAACAGGAGGAAGATAATTTTAAGATTTTTTTTACATTTAATCACAAAAAAAAGTAAAAAGTGCTTAAATGTTCCTCTGTCTCACATACAAAACCAAACGGCACTACAGCATATATGACAACAAACGTTGATGATTCATTATCATCTACGTATTTATCGAAATCTATGAGCTAAAAGCAATAGACGAAGTAACTTATGAAGAAATTTGGAAACATGCAAGGACTAGGGTCGAATATTACACCAATGAAACCAACTCATATATATATATATATATATATATATATATATATATATATATATATATTATAAGCAAAAAAATACCTTCAAGAGAGTCATGCAAAAAGGTGTCGTTCAACAATAGTGTCAAATAAAACAATTAGCATAATTATAATTACGTATTTAAGTGGTAATTAGTAACAAAGAATATTCAAGCAATTAGAGCTCCAGGAAGAATGTATAATTATCAAAATATTTAATTGCAGTTGTAATGACTTTGTTGTTGAAGAAGACCCTTAGTAAATATATTTATTTACCTGACTGTGAAGTATAAGAAGTCATGTAACTTGGAAAGAATCACTCATTTATTCATGCTCTGTTGACATTACCTCTACATTAACTAAAATGGAAAGTGTTACGAGTGCTTT